TTGGAATGATTAAAATAATTATTAGTGAGTGAGTGAGTTAGGTTTAACGCCGCTTTGAACAGCATTCCAGTTATATCACGGCGTGTCAGCTTAATGTGGGAGGAGAGTCCGAAGTAATGAAGGTCTCAGACGTTTACCACTTCGGGGAAACCCACAAGCACGGGTATGGTTCTGACAAAAGTAGAAACATAATTGGGATGAACCAGGATTTGGACCCACAATCAAAGGTTTCTGGACGTGGACGCAACTCGCGGGATGAACCAGGATTTGAACCCACAATCAAAGGTTTCTGGCGTGCCCAAGGGACGCAACTCGCGGGATGAACCAGGATTTGAACCCACAATCAAAGGTTTCTGGCGTTACCAAGGGACGCAACTCTCGGGATGAACCAGGATTTGAACCCACAATCAGAGGTTTCTGGCGTTACCAAGGGATGCAACTCTCGGGATGAACCAGGATTTGAACCCACAATCAAAGGTTTCTGGCGTGCCCAAGGGACGCAACTCCAGGATGAACCAGGATTTGAACCCACAATCAAAGGTTTCTGGTGTTACCAAGGGACGCAACTCGCGGGATGAACCAGGATTTGAACGCACAATCAAAGGTTTCTGGCGTGCCCAAGGGACGCAACTCCAGGATGAACCAGGATTTGAACCCACAATCAAAGGTTTCTGGTGCTACCAAGGGACGCAACTCGCGGGATGAACCAGGATTTGAACCCACAATCAAAGGTTTCTGGCGTGCCCAAGGGACGCAACTCCAGGATGAACCAGGATTTGAACGCACAATCAAAAGGTTTCTGGCGCTACCAAGGGACGCAACTCGCGGGATGAACCAGGATTTGAACCCACAATCAAAGGTTTCTGGCGTTACCAAGGGACGCAACTCGCGGGATGAACCAGGATTTGAACGCACAATCAAAAGGTTTCTGGCGTTACCAAGGGACGCAACTCGCGGGATGAACCAGGATTTGAACCCACAATCAAAGGTTTCTGGCGTTACCAAGGGATGCACAGCGAATCGACGACAGACCACCCGTGCACCCAAAATAATGATTAAATTGAGGCATGTGTGTAAAATCTATCTGATGTTTCTGTTCATTAAGAACATTCACTGTTCACACAATCACTTTCAGATTGTCTTCACTCATTTATGTCACTCACTACATTTCAATTCAAACAAGGAAATCCCCATCCTTATTTATCCTACTCAACTTTTGATAGGGATAATCAGATATGTCACACTATTTAAATATACACATGAAATGTTATGAGAATTAGTTCTGTGTATCAAGAAAAGATAAAAAAAAACGAAATCAAATGTGGAGTAGAATATTGAGAAAGCATCACAAAGGCTCGAAATATTTCTTAACACCCAACTTGTCCTGCAGGGCAAATAGATATTATTTTGTACTCGACCTGTAATATTTCCACTTGCCCTATTAAATGTTATTCAGATTTATGTTCTCAGCTATTATTACTATTTTCTGTAATTAACCTTTGAGTTGAGGATATATATGACAGACACTGAGACAGCACAAAATAGTTCACAGTCTGTTTGGTAATCAAGTCACGTTTTTTTTGTGTCAACCTCACCATTCAAGATTAAAAAACAGCCATTACCCTCACAAAATCTGTTCACTTTCGCGAGTGCATGAGTGGATTTTTTTAGCCCTGATATCACATATTTTATTTTGTATTTGAATTTTTATATTTCCTGTTGGTACAGTGGTTACTCTGTGACCCCAGTTTTTAATGCCAGGCCCCCCAAGATTTATTACCGATAGTGATCAGAACTCATACACATCCATAGACAAAGGTAAATGCCTGGCTGTATTTCCTCTGTTAACAGTGATTAAGGGCTGGGTATAGGGGTAAGGTTCTCAAATAAGAGTCAAAGGTAAGCACGATAAGGGACAGAGCACCATTATGAGACAGCCTCTTGATTAAGTCTACTCGCCCGAACATGTCACTTAACATTTTTTTCAGTAGATCTTAGTGTTACTGTATGGACTTTTATTAGCAAAGTCTACTAGACTGAGTGAGTGAGTTGGATTAAACGCCGCTTTGAACAGTATTACAGTTATATCATGGCGTGTCAGCTTAGTGCGGGAGCAAAGCCCGAAGTAATGCAGGTCTCAGACGTTTACCACTCTGCTTACTAGACTGAAACAAATTTTACTGAACTCGTACAAGTGGCTGAAGTCTCAGACTGATATGGGGCGTTACATGGAAGGGACAGAAATTAGCACATCCCACTAGGCAGAGCCAATATCAATAATGTTTAAAGGTATCCTAAGGGCTGGGAGAATTTTGAACTTTGGGCGGGAGGGTGGGTTCCTTTTTTTTTTTATGCCTATGTCTTCTTATAATTTGGGCCAGAAGATTTCCAGGTTAGTTTCTATCCCCGTATAGGCAGGGTCTGAAGGTAAAGGGAAGTTAATAAGAGTCTGGGTTCTGAATAGGGGTATTACTGTACCATCATGGCAATCATGGTGAAAGTCTGTATCTACAACTGGTATCGAAGTGGTGTATTGTCAAGGCATAATGCGTAAAGAAAAAACAGGGGTTAAAATACAATATTTTCAATTAAATTTGTCAATGTGGTTCCTTATGTATATACATGGATTACACAGTTAGGATTAACCAGTGTTACATTTTCAATTTTTTTTTTATTGATAGACATACCTTTTGTTTATGTCATGTTTTTGACAAAACAAAATATTGTTGGTTATCAGGAATAGAAAAACCTACTTTTTTATCACATTCATACAGATGTATACTCATAGTTTCTTACGCAGTATACAAGATATACATAATTATGAGAGTAAGTTCATCAAAGGAAATCCTAACCTGATGATTTTTGTTCTATTTGTTATGAGGAGTCTCCCTTTCCTTAGACCTTGAATGAATTAAATAACACTGATGCATACAGTGATATGCATATGGCATAAAAGAATAGCTTTAAAGGATTTAAGAGGCACAGAAATTGCACTGTAACCCAACAACTTGTAACGCAAGTTAATACTTTCAAGAGGATCATCAGTGTGAGTGAGTAATGATTTACTGCCGCATCAACAATATTTCTGACAATCCCCCATACAGTACCCCAACATCGGGTAATCTCACCATTGCTAACAACATTCACCATGTACATCATGTAATCTTCAGTGATGACAACATTCCAAGATACCAAAGCAACAGTTTTCATGGCTAATGACAAATGTCACAGCCATTGCCTGAAATCTGATATACAATATGTGTATCCTGTAAGTATATATCTCTAACACTTCCAACAGACCTGTGTCACTATCAATCAAGGATGTTTATTCTGGTCAAAATTCACACACTTGTTGAGCAATCAAAGCCAATTAGCACAATTAATTAGCCTCATCAGTGTATTGGTATGTTCTGTGCAGTCATGCTTGATAGTTAGGAGCCTATCTTTCGGGTCTTCTTTTTCATTTGGATTATATGTAAATGAGTCATACTTGCTAATTAAATTTATGAATAATGAAATATAAGATCAATCTCACCAAACATAATGTATCTTATGTCATAGGATCATATGGATGCTGAGCCTGGGGTCTTTAGATCAGAGATTTGAGGATTACTCATTTATCCTTAGACAGAATCAAAGCCTCAATATTGACAGCATCTTTATACTTAGATGCCCATGTTTATTTATTATTGCTATTTTTAGATTTATTATGTAATAAGTGAAAGTCAAGAAAAGCATTTAGCTTACATGTTGATTAACTCTTTCTGTTTATCATATTTTATTATGAATGCAGCCAATCATCTAAAAATCTCTTACTGGTGCATCAGTTTATGCTAAAATTGAATGAAACTGTGACAGACCAATTCCAAACGGTTCCTCCATTCATAATGCAAGGAAATGGTAAAGAGAATCAGACGAAATGGATGTTTCATACATAAATAATCAATAGATTAACATGATATTTCCAGATGTAGACTGCAGTATTAGTCATGATGGGCAAGTTGACTGAATCATGTCAGGAATGAGTGATACTACTACTTGAGTGCTGGATGCAAAATTTATCTATGAAGAAATAGAAGAATATTGACTGTATCGTTCAGAACGAGACCGGTGGATGACATCACTAAGGGGACATAGTCCCTGCTACTCGTCTCATGGCATGTGTAGTGCAGTTCTTGGGATCTAGACTGCATTTATCAAAATAAATGAAAAGCAAGTGTCAAAATATTCCTGATGTGGGGGTGGGGCGTAGGAAGGGCGATTTTCAGAATGAGTGGGGTCATAATTTATACAAGATGGCCGCTGAACGACTGAGAATGCACTAATCCAGTAAGATCATCGAAGATTCGACCGGCGTGCACAGTCAAGCCGGTATATGAAAAATGTTGCAACCTACCTGCGGCTGTGTTTGTTGCACCTGTCTCGTTAGACTATCGCGTTCCTTCTCCACTTCATGAAGTTTGCCCTGTGTCAAAGCAACTTGGTCTTGCGCTTCACGCAAACTCTCCATCAATTTATCTCGCTCATCCAACATGTTCACCATCAGTTGCTCAAAATTGGAGTCATCTCCCGAGCCTTGCGACTCCCGATCATTGGAGCCGTCCTCGGCGATGGTGGGCATCACGTCGCACATCATCTTGAAGGCCTTGTAGTAGAATTATGCCATAAAACTGGCTTAAACAGAACGTACAGTAATAGCACTAAGACTACATGAGTAAATGTCTTCACTTCAGAAGTCGGCTACTCATGCGGTTTCGGCGAGCGATTTCTCGCCACCGGTTAGTTCGATCATTGTAAAATCGACACAGTCTCCAAATTAACTATTTAAATGTCTCCTCCGCTTCATCTGGTTGCTATGAAATCCGTACAAAGTCCTGAAAATCACCTGTCAAACAGCTCCTCATCCTTCAAACCCATTCAGAAGAGGAGCCATTTTCTTCTGGGAAAAGTGTGTCATACCCATAATTCTGTGTAAAGGGAGGTAATTATTTGAAGATCCACCAGGTGACGCTGACGGGCACTTGTCAATATGGCGCCCGGACCTCCAAGAATTTTTCTTTCCTCTCTATTTATTTTCTTCAAAGGAAACAACAAAAATGACGCATAAATCTGGTGACAGCAATGTAGCATCATGCCTAGGGTGGGTAGAAAAGGGAGGCAGCAAAAGAAAGCGGTTTACAGCACATTTAGTGGTAAGATTTACTTCCAGACGTGGAAGTCGCCGGATTGCACATAGCAGCAAACTGGCACGATAAACATCGAATAGCGGTTACCTTATTTACAAATAACGGTTATGTTTCTCATGCTATATGCAATCCAATGATCTTCCATGTCCTAACGATATTGACATTTATTATCAAATGCCAATGGTCACAAACTTTAATTGTATATGACATCTGTCACATTGTCAAACATGTCAACATGACCTTTCGGGTCAAATAAGATTTCACAATAGTCTCGTGTTTGGTGCAAATGATGGACGAAGGCTACAGTTCCGCGGTAACCTCTAAAGGTAATTCGAAGCATCTATCGTTTCTTTAATTAATCCAATTCATAAACTTTGAAAACTTACTTATCAGGATGTGTCAATTGTTTGCCAACTTACATTTGTCATAGTTACAATGAAGCCATGAGGCCAACTCTCTTCCTTGAATCTTTAATCATCAAAGCTGACACCCCCAAAACATTGTGGTATGAACAAAAACATAGTTTCACAGGGCTACAATTTCTTTTTACCTGGTTTTATACTATATATCAGTGATATATAGTTATAGAATATTCAATTCATATTGTCTGGTAGCATTATAATTGAAGTAAAGTCCGTATATCATGAATATGACATTCAAATTTCATGAAACAAAACTACAGAATCTTTCTGATAATTTACTTAAAGCTGACTCTCAAGCAGTAAAATCAACGCAAGATTCTTGGTTTCAAAGTTATACACTGTTAACATATAATGTTCAGGCAATTTAACTTTATTTATTGATATCTGAAAATAATTGTAATACTACTCAAGTAAATAAAGTAATAAAGTTTTTACTTCAATACCCTCAAACATGTCAAAAAATATTTTTGTTCTATTAATTGGAACCACTGATTAAGTGAGCAGCCCTGTTTGCCGCCTTTTTTTGAGTTGCACCATATCTTTATCCCGATATTGTCTGTATTGTGTTCCACAAGCTTAAATTTCTCCACTTAACAGAACCGGAGAATTCAAAGATTAGATATGCACTAAATTGTCATTTATAAGCTTGTTTTTTATGTCCTACTACAAATTACAATTTTACGGGGGAAACAGGTTGAACCCCACCCACCCCAACTTACCCTATTTTTTGATGGGCAGAAATAAGAAACACATTTTTTGGCCTGATTACCACTTACTGATTTGTAGATGTGACATTGAATGATTATGCAAATGCTGACAAGGGAGGAGGGACATCTTTTCGAGTCAAGAAAGGAGCCGCCAAGGCAATTGAAAAAGAAGGTATTTTTGTGTTTTGTTTTTGTGTGTGTGTGTGTTAACACTTTTTTTGACATATTTACACACTTTATATCCTCAAATAGCAAAAAGTTTCAGCGTCACTGTGTGTGGATGAGTTTCTGCTCTGTCTTAAAGATTCTTGCAGGGACAGACATGGCCACTTGTCTGTTGGTCTGAGACAAGTGAAATTCTATAGGGACAGAATTGTTTTCACCCATAATCCAGTTACTTTTCAAACGATCACTTGTCAAAAACAAGCTGCGGGCTAGTTCAATGTGATATGACCAGTGGTATCTACCCGTACCTTGTTGGGATTGATGGCCAGGATATGTGCCCTGTGTTGGTCACATATCCCCATCTAAAGATTATTCCAGGTTGTTACTATAGTCTGGAAGGTAATTTAAGATACCGACGTTTACTACAATATCTGAAAAACTATCGGACACAGTTGAACCAATCAACTCAACTCGAAAGGGTGCACAGGAATCACGCACGTTGAAGCGCCTAATGCTAACACTGTATACGTGTGTGCATGATTCATGTGCAACATGTTGAGTTGATTGGTTCAACTGTGTCATATGGCCCTGTGACGCAGGAGTAGCATTATGCAGATGGCTGTTTCAATGAATGTTCGTTCCACCCGTGACAAACAGGTCTAGTTGTTGATGAAATATAGTGATAGCTAAATAGACAGATTTTTTATTCATGCACCGATTGTCTTTAAATGTAATATCCAGTTATGTATGACTGTTTAATAATCTCATACCAACTTTGACTGGAGTAGGTCCAATAGGTTTTCAGATATTGTAGTAAACGTCGATACCTTAAATTACCTTCCAGACTATAGGGGTGGATCCAGGTCTATGTGATAGAGTGGGGAGACTGCGAGAACCACAGGAATGGATCTACGGGGTTGTGTAGGTTTATGAAATGCACGCCCTGGAAATATGGAGGCTGTATATATTGACAATTGATGCATATATAATATAGTCTTGTCCCTGTGCCTCATCAGCGGCTGGGGTAATCTGAAAGTAATATTTAGTCATTATTTAGTTTCATTATTAAAAATAACCCTGACAGTTAGTCCAATCTATGTGTATCTGATCACTTCTATTTTACTGTTGAATTATTTTAAACTGAAAAAGGATGCTTTATTTATTAAAAGTGACTTTTGAATGATCATGTTTAGTTGTAATGCTATTTAATCTTAACCCTGTTTTGAAGGTGCCATTTACTCTTTTTACAGGGTTAGAAACTAACATTTTTAGCTTATTGGTCCTTAAAATGATAACATGTAGCAAAACCATTAAAAATGGCAAATTTGTACTAGTCCTTAGGATACCTTAACTATTGGCCAGTTTGGCAAGGACTACAGGACCAGTGCCAATTTCTAACGCTGTTTTTAGAGAGTGCTATTTCTGCTTAATCCTGTCCATCAGGTCCATCCATGTTCAAAGCATCACCAGTGAACAACAGTCTGTACAGGAATACAGATACGAAAGCTAAAGAGGCTACATTGTTTAATAATGGACAGTGCCGTACCATGTATACACTTTCAGTTTTTTTAAAATTAAACATTAATGTCAAGGTGTCCTTATACAGATATACCGTATTCGACGTAATAAGCGGCCCGCTCTAATAAGCGCCCACGGCGGTATTTGCTAATATATTGGCTAGTGAACAATCCCAATTAGCACCCCTTTCGATTGATCAATGTTCACAAGATTTATTAATTCGGGTACAATACGCACTCGTGTGTTATATGCACCCTTAATAATGGGCAATTCAATTTCAGAAAAATATATCTGTCGTACTTAAACATTTCAGACTGTCACTATAAACCACCAAAGGTATCTTTCAACTTTTTTTCACCAAAATAATATTCAAATAAGAGCCACCCATTTCAAATTTTAAGAGCGCCCTGGGCGCTTATTACGTCGATTACGGTAGGTGGTTCCTAGATGCAAATACCATAGATGAAGATCTCAAGGACCCACGACCCCGTCAAACTTTTAACACTGTGTTTGGTGTTTGAAGTATTTCATGCATGTTTGTTAGTGGTGTAACGATACAGTGATGCAGTATTGTATCATGATACAAGGCCCACAATACATTTACAAGCCCTGTATCACGATACTTTTCATTGCAAGTTATATTGGTGTAAAATCATGTGAAGTGTTCAGACACAAGCTTACACAGATTGTCTAGTATTTCATGGTTGGACATAAAAGGCATAAAAATCACAGTGCCCTCTAGCTAATATATTTCTGCCCTACAATTTCCAATCTTTGAGCTCTGAAATATAACAACAAATGTTTCAGGGTTGTGTTTCAGAGAAAGATTTATTAACTGGATATACCGTATTCGACGTAATAAGCACCCCGCTCTAATAAACGCCCACAGCGATATTTGCTAATATATTGGCTAGTGAACAATCCCAGTTAGCACCCCTTCCGATTGATTAATGTACACAAGACTTATTTATTCGCGTATAATACGCACTCCTGCGTTATATGCACACTTAATTATGGGCAATTAAATTCGGGAAATTAATCTGTCGTACATAAACATTTCAGGCTGTCAGCATAAACCACGAAATTTATCTTTCAACTCAACTTTTTTTTTACAAAAATAATATTCTAATTTTGAGAGCGCCCTGGGCGTTTATTACGTCGAATGCGGTATATCATATCGGAACCCAGCCATCTCGTTACACCTCTAATGTTTGCAAAAGCACCTCAAGATGAATATGGTGATGGTGATCTGCAGTACATTGATGGACATTCTGTGTTACAGTACGGCAACTGCTGAAAGAGCCAGCAGGGACAGTGGCCACTGTGGGGGAGGACCTGAGCTGGTTTGAGAAGGACTTGGAGGACTTCCACATTGCCACAGAGGACGACAAGGATCAGAATGTGGAGGACAATGGTAAAATATGAATATTCTGGGCTCTTCGTCCACTTGCTACTGTCATAACTTTCATATTTCCCAATATTCTTGCAACAGGGACCCACCTAGATTATATAAAGCAAGTGTCAATATATTTTAGATGGGGGTGTACAGACAATGACTCACAAATATCGAATACTAAACTCGCTCCCGTGTAAAACCAATTTTATGAAACTTATGAATAGTTCTGGTATCTGACTCGCTTTCGTTTGTGAGATACCATAACTTTTCACAAGTTTAATAAAATTGGTTTCACAAGGGATCAAGTTTAGTATTTAATTATTACTTGCCATTTATAACTTTTTTTAAGAATTATACTGTTGAGTGTGAATAGGCTGACAGCTACACGATCCACGGCATAATCCAATTTAGTTCAGAATACTACTTCAAACATGTCAAAAGTTGAAACGTATTAATTTAATACCAAACAACAGTCCATGTTTAGAATTCAGGTGTCCGTTCCATAAGTTATTGTAGCGCTAAGGTTATCACAACTCAGATACTTTATTATAGACTTACGACTGTCGTTACGCTACAGTAAAATCACCTAGTGGAATGGGGCCCTGCACCACAAAGTTTACAATCACGTCACAATACCCGACGTAATTTGTGGAATTGTGTTGCAAGATCCATCGGCGAAACAATCTCATGTGACATCAGCCCAGCAACAAGGTTGCTGGGGTCATCTTGTGTGCATAAGCTCCTCTCAGTGATCTATCATCCTAACACGTAATGGCGTTGAATGAGCCAAGGGATGTTGAAAGCTTTCAATATTTGTTTGTGAAACTTGTTCCGACAGTACATAAACATGCGTTTTGGTATTACACAATGTGTAATACAGCTGTATGTTTTTTAAACGGGTGATCTCTTTATGGGCAAGTAATAAAGTGTATTGTGAATTCAGCAACATGAACACATTGTGAGATGATGTCTACTGCATCATTATGCTTGGACCTTTTGTCTATAGAACATTAGGCCATCTTAATATTAGTGTGTATGTTCGACGGCCTCTTCATTTCTTTTGGGATGACAATTTGAACTATGTTTTCAATGTATTTGTCCTAGATAATTTTGTTGATGTAAGAGAAAATTTGTCGAAAGCAATAGTAATTGCCCAATTGAAAAGGTTTCAAACTCTGATTAGATACCTGTAAATGTTTGAAATGTTTCGAATTTACAGGTATCAAATCTATATTATCATCCAAAACAGGCTCCCACAGCTTTGCAGACCATTGTGATGTCATTGGTTACCATGACGTCACAATCAAATGACATCCCTTAATGGCCCCGCTACTGAAGCTGTTTGCAGTACTTTTTACATTTAAGACACTGCTTATTACTGTAAAACTGAAAAAGTTGGGAGCATGATTTTGGATGATTAATTAAATCTAACCCTTATGTCTTTTGATATCAAATATATCAACACTCGTTGATAAAAGTGGAATCACTCCTTGGCAAGCCTCTCTTGTATATATTTGATATCAAAAGACACTCGGGTCAGATTCTCTTTTTAAAACCACCGTAGACTTATCTCATTTCTAATATTTTACTCCTACATAACTGTTTATTTCAGGCGAAGGTGAAACTGTTGTTGAAACAAGGCGCCGCCGCCGCAAGACCAAGTCACAGTCTGAAGGAGATGAAAAAGGAATAGTCTATCCTTATGATTTGTGGTACCAGCTCAGTTTGCATGTCCATCCAGAAGATGTGGGACGCTTTGCTGCCATTTGTCGCACTGCCTGTTGCCTCGTCTATTCCAGCGCTTTCTGGCGGAACATGTATCTCAGGTACCCATTGAAGACTGATTGACCAATCAGATATGAGCATTACCAAAAGTTGATGTAGAGTACACCAGTTGATTCTGTGTTCAAAAAAGATTTATATGTCATTCAAAGGCAAGACTGATTTAATTCCTTGTTACAACATATTGGGAGCTAGAAATGTTGTCAGGGTGTGTTTGAATCTCCCATGGAGAGACTGAAAATAAACATATAGGGTTGTTTGGGTTGTCAAACTTTGCTAAGGATCACATCATTGTGTCCCAAGTGCGTGGATCGATGCTAGGGATGTAAATCACTGCATGATTTGGATCTGACTCCGTTATAGTGCGGCGTTAAATACACAAATCAAGCTGAAGATTGCAACAACTACATGCACAGAGCTCCAGACAAGGAGAAACTCAGATAGATTTCAGAATTCCAATGTAGCCGAACATGTCTGCTATGGTGAGGGCTTAATCATGATTTGGGGTGGGATCAGTAGAGCTTAGAAGAACCGATCTACGGCGTCCTACAGCGGGCAAGATGTCAAGTGTGCACGAAAGGGATATGTATGTATGTATGTGTGTGTGTGTGTGTGTGTGTGTGTGTGTGTGTGGTGTGTGTGTGTGTGTGTGTGTGTGTGTGTGTGTGTGTGTGTGTGTGTGTGTGTGTGTGTGTGTGTGTGTGTGTGTGTGTGTATGTATGTATGTATGTATGTATGTATGTATGTATGTGACCAAATGCTTGTGCAGTCGGTCCGGACTTGATGCTCATGGATGATAACGCATTACCTCATTGTGCCACGGTGTTTAATGCCTACTTAGAGAAGGAGCAATGTCAGCATGGAGTGGCCAGTCTGGTCACCAGACCTCAACCCTATAGAACACATGTGGAACGAGCTGCAGATCACCCTCTCATGATGCCCTGTCCTGGCAACTCTACAGGAACTCGGCAATGCTCTTATCTTCCCTTGGCAACCACCCAGATACTTAATTGGGAGCATGTGACGTTGATGCTAGGCTATGATCTCATCACATGGGTCACATACGCATTTCTGAGAGTTGTATTTTTGGACAGTGCATTTTTTTTATGATGTTTATGTTTCGTTTTGGTCAGATACTCTCATTTTGACAGATGATAGGTTTTTGTTGGCATTGTGCGGCACATGACAACAGTCTTCACACAATATTGTCTTTGGCTATTTCAACAGAAACACATAATTTGAAGTATTACCTTTTAAAGTGGTGATCCTTAGCAACCTTTAAGTAGTATAAGAATTTAAAGAACACCCAGTGTTTTCATATGGCTATAGTTAATGTGTCATGACTGGTGGGTGTTGCAGTGCTCAGCCTTCACATCGTGGGTGGCCTTTAACATGTTTAACTTGATTTGAGTAGTATAGTTATTTTATACTGTTGGGAATTGTGTTTTTTTTCTGATGATGAAAGTTCAAAGCCAGTGTTCTCACAAGAAGTAATGTGCAGTAAACCAGTTTGTAGATACTTCAATGTGAACACATTCAAAGTCAGCAGGTGGGGCGGTCGGGTAGCCTAGTGGTTAAAGCATTCGCTCATGATGCCGAAGACCCGGGTTCAATTCTCAACATGGGTACAATATGTGAAGCCCATTTTTGGTGTCCCCCGCCGTAATATTGCTGGAATATTGCTAAAAGGGGCGTTGAACCATACTCACTCACTCACTCAATGTCAGCAGGTAACTAGTCAGGTTTTCCCAACCTGGTGGATGAGGGGTTAAAAAATTTGATATCAGGGCCCATCTCATCTTCAAGTTGCCAATCATCAGTATGATTCTGGGTTAAATTTGATCCCAAGCAAACTGTTCTTGTCAATCGAGGCGACTAAATGGACAAGGTGGTTAGATGCAGTGACTTGGTTGATAGTGTATTAGAACATGACCTCTGAAGTTATGTATGAGGTTAAAGATGACTATTTCTATGAGGGAACCCATGAGTGTCAAGGAAAGGAATGGTTGGTGATTGTTTTGTTAAATATATGCCCTGGGGTCTGTACAAGAGACTGATAGTGTCAGCGTACCTCAGTTAGTGGATTGTTTCTCATTTTGTGAATCACAGGTTTGTCAGGTTCAAACATGATCATTTACAGGCAGCAGTGCTGAATATTGCTGACTGCAACTCTAGGCGACATTTTTTTTATTTCTTGGTTTACAGATTTCAAACTCATTTCAAATGTGAGGCAAATTTAAAGAAAAAAAAACTCTCGTAACACAACTCAATTTTCAAGAACATTTTATTATGATCCTGGCACATAGCATTTGTACAAATGACAATATAACAATATTCATGTCCTGGTGGAATGCATAAAAGATGCCATCATTTTGGCAGCATGGGCAACGATTAAACTGTTCACCACTGCGCTTTGTGTTGACAGGCTTTTGATGGTATGAGGGATCAGAGTGACTTCCCTTTGCTTTACACTGGATGAAACGAAATCTTTTTGTTGAACTTTTTGGGCATTTATAAAGCAAAGTTTGGCAGTAATAAAAAAAGGAGTAATTTGAACCCTTTTTTTCAACATTTGGACTTTGAAAGAGTGGCACATCCGTAAACAATTTAAAAAAAAAATGTCGCCTTATACAACATTGATTCACTTACATCCATTGCAAATGATCCCACAGAAATATACCCATTTTCTTGCAGGTATTTCGAAAAGTCTGTGAAGCTGCCTGATGATCTTCAACCATCCAATATAGAACGCATCCGTGGATTACGAGCCCGCGTGATCCGCTCCATGTTCTACCTCTATCGACCGCTGGCGGGCAGGACCACACCCCTCGTACCATTTGAAAACGAGCCCCACGAGCTACAGGGACAGCGCTGTCACCTGTCTTGGCACCAGCCTGTGAAAAACATGTGGAACTTCTGCTTCAAGTTCAGCAAGGGACAGACTCCTACTCGTCCATTCCTACCAACAAAAATGGCAACAAAACACGACTTGCTTCCTGGCTACAATGATCTCTTTTACAACACCGAGGATGGATGTCGAATCCTGCAGGTGACAGTTCAAAACTTCGTTGCCATTCCAATGGTCATGGGGTTAGTCTTGAGCAAGGTTTACCTTACTATCAGTGCACAGATAAGATACTACCGTCTCCGCATGTTGTTTGACACCAGTTTGCAGGGAGGTAACTCTAACTCAGCTGAGATGATCGTTGACCTTGACCCTGTTGTGGACATCCGAGTTTTACCTTGGTGGGATCCAAAGTATCCCTTCACATGTTGACCTTGTTACCATGGTTACCGAGTTCAGGTTTTTTTACAGACTATGTTTTTAAAAGCAGTGGTTATTGAGGGAACCTAGTTTTTATCAATACAGGACATATTTATTTGATATTCACTTTACTGTTATATATGTCTGCGTTGTGTTCTGTTTCAGCTGGTTACCATGGTAACTGATATGATCATTCATTTAAAAAAGTTACAGGACATTTGTTATGGTTCAAATTATTGCTCTTAAAGCAATGTATAGAGATAGGGTTTTGTAATTATTTTTTGGGTTATTATATGAAACATTGGATAATTGTCGTATTTTGTTTCACTTTATAATCTATGGAAGATTAAACAAAAAAATAATTATATTTTGGGGATTTATAGCACTTATTCAGTTATTAGATGTTATGCAAAGTAATTTGGGTGTAGTAGTCTTGTCCACACAAAAAAGGCGTTTTATTGAGTCGATTAGACCAGAACAATTGTTTATTTGTTTGTTGATTTGTCTGGTGAGGAAGTGACAGCGATCTTGTTTTGAATTGATAAATACAACATGTACATTGGATAAGTACATTAGTAGTTCTGATTGATGGCAGAATCTTGTCATCATCGTCACAGAGAGTATCAAATAAATATCACCCAAAAATATAGAATGTTCATGGTTTATACAGTTTTGTACTGTACTGTGCTAGCCTGAATATATTGCAATATGTGAAAATCTGACTGTTAGATCAGTGTGAATCATAACATTTGAATCCATCTTCCTGGAACTGACAAATTGCCAAAGTCTAGTCCTCGTTTAAATCTTTAAAAAATCACCACTACATAATCATTTTTCGATTTTTATCTCAGCAGCCATCCCAATTGCGTGGATCGATGCTCATGATATCAATCACTGGATTGTCTTGTCCAGCCTCGATTATTTACAGACCGCCATCGTAAAGCTGGAATATTGCTGAGTGCGGCGTTAAACAACAGACCAAACAATCAAATCATATGGAACAAATACAATGTACTCAATGAAAACAATCAGAAAACATGCATAGCTAGATTTCATATTGATCATGTAGTCATTCCATTCTGTCTTTGAGATAAGGTAGGTGTCCTTCTGACATATCAGTAATCACTTTTATCAAGAAATGGTATATTTGTATTAATATACATATTTTTTCATTTTTTATTTTTTCTCTTTGCTCAAACTTACATTATGAAACTTTTTGTGTGACTCTCCATCTTTGTAAGTGAGCGTGGACATGGTCAGACCAATTCAAACTAATGTCATTTTAAAGGATATAATGTTTGTGTAGGTTGGTGTGGGGTTAATGTCTCGTTTGCCCTATAAATCTTTATTCTTCAGTTGGTAAGTGGGACATAATTAGTTTTAGAGGAATATTACAGCTATGGCTATAATGTCTGATTGTTGACCATTGTTACTCATTATATTTCGAGAAACTTTTGTAAAAGAAAATCATAAAAAAGAAATGGTAGCGTTTGGGTTATACCGTATTCGATGTAATGAGCGCCCTCGGCGCTCACAAAATTAGAAATAGGTGGTTCTTATTAGAATATTGTTTGGGTGAGTAAAAGTTGAGTTGAAAGATAAATTTTCGTGGTTTATGCTGACAGCCTGAAATGTTTATGTACTACAGATATATTTTCCAGAATTTAATTGCCCATAATCAAGGGTGCATAAAACACACGAGTGCGTATTATGCACAAATAAATAAGTCTTGTGTACATTGATCAATCGGAAGGGGTGATAATTGGGATTGTTTACTAGCCAATATATTAGCAAATATCGCCATGGGCGCTTATTACGTTGAATAATAAGGACATTACACCATAACCATTATTCTGGATTAACAAGGTTAAGTGTACATCTTTAAGATGGGATTGTCTGGATTAACACGGTTAAATGTACATCTTTAAAGATGGTATCGTGTGGATTAACAAGGTTAAGTGTACTTCTTTAAGATGGGATCGTCTGGATTAACAAGGTTAAGTGTACATCTTAAAGATGGGATTGTCTGGATTAACAAGGTTAAGTGTACATCTTTAAGATGGGATTGTCTGGATTAACAAGGTTAAGTGTACATCTCTAAAGTGGTCTCATCTGGATTAAGAGTGAGTGAGTTGGGTTTACCGCCCCTTTTAACAGTATTCCAGTTATATCGTGGTGTGTCAGCTTAATCTGAGAGGAAAGCCCGAAGTGATGCAGGTCTCAGACGTTTACCACTTCAGTGAAACCCACGAGCACGGGTATGGTGCTGACAAACCTAGAAACATAATCGGGGCGAACCGGGATTCAAACACACAATCATAGGTTTCTGGCGTGTCCATGGGACGCAACTGTGCACAGCAAATCGCTGCACCTTAGACGACCGGGCCACCCGTGCCCCCTCCGGATTAAGAGGGTCAGTGTACATCTTTAAGATTGAGTGAATTGTTCACCCCCTTTACATGCAATCTTCAGAAGAGAGGGACCTTGACCTACCATATTTACCTTGAGTGACAGAAATTCACATCAAAAGTGCAAGTGTAGAGTTGACTTTCTATTGAATGATCTATTCAATGTTCTGAGAAAGGGGTATGAATCTATTGACTGCTTTCCTTTTCGTTAAGATGTGTGAGTAGCCTAGTGGTTGAGGTGTTCCTTTCGTTTTGCAGGAATTGTATGTTCTGTACCTCTCATGGGTACATCATGCTGTCCATCACAGTAATCAGGATGTTGTAATGGTAAGGGGATGACCGTGTGATACTTGGGGGAAGTGGATATTCTGTTCCCCAAAATTGATGGAAGAACAAAATGTCCTCAGGATGTAAAAACAAATATACTCTTCAAAAAAAGAAATGCAAAGCCATATTTGTGTGAGGTAGGAAAATACATTTATACAAGGAATCATACAAGGTATTGAGCCAAAATGTTCTGGAGAGAACACTTGGTGATCGTAGTCTTCTCAGTTAGGGGTACATAGGAAAAGTCTGAGGTGAAGGTCAGATACCATCAATAGCGCGTCTAGATGTTGTGAAAAATAATATTCTGTCTCAAACAACCCAACAACCCCACCCCACCCTCCTTTTCAAGCAGTCAAAAATATTGATTGTTCTATTATTATTGAATATTTCAAACTAGATCCAGACAAAATGTGTGCCATTCTTAATCCATTTGATTGTTTTCTCTAGTGAAAATGGTATTAATAGCATGAACGTAATTGCAACTTGTTTTACTTTTGCTTGTTCTGTTATTCATTATGACGAATAAAATAAATGAATGTAATGCCAGAACCTGTATAAAGTGTAATTTGTTTGACTGAAGAGGTGCACGTTAACTGGCACAGTAATACGAAGAGAAATTTCTGTTTACTGTTTTAATGACTACTCTTCGAAAACAGAAATTTTTTCCACGTACTGAAATATATGCAGTTTCTCATACTTCCACAGAAAAAATCCAAATATTTCAGAAATAAAGCTAAAAAATGGCGTGAACTGGTCAAAAATGAAAAATGAATCTATATTGCTCCAGTCATGAGATTAAAATGAGACCTTCCTTCTGAACGATTTTCCCCTATTTTTCAAGTAGAAGTTAATCAATTAGTAATACGGTTATAAGGGGTATCATGATACGCCTACCTTGTGTATCGATACATATGATGATACCTGAGGCAAGATACAACACTATCGCAATAATTAATTTGCACTGTCTTTGTGGGTACTTCTCCATGTTCCAAGTGGCCTGGCTAATAAGAGTCAACCAGTTTAACTCCAAAGACTGGTTATTTAAGATTAGTTCTTTAAGTGTTATGCAATCAGTTTTAGTGTTTTGTTTTAAGATAGGTGCCAAGGAATTCAAGCCCTAATTATGAGACCAGGGCCCACTTGCACAAAGCAATCTTAGCGCTAAGATGATCATAACACCCATACTTTAACATAGGCTTACAATAGTCTTAGCGCTAAGATGATCGTAACGCCCATACTTTAACATAGGCTTACAATAGTCTTAGCGCTAAGATCACTTTGTGCAAGTGGTCCCTGGTAATTGAAAATCTTTGTAAATATAACATTTTGAAAAATCGATAAATACCTCAAATGTAAATCGATACATGGGTAGGGGTAACATACGCCGGATCGGAAAGTTTAAGTTCATGATGCATTTTATCGGTACCTATATTTTAAGACAATTTTTTGCGGATACACAGCCCCAATGATGAGCCAGACAATGAAACAAGCTGAACAAAATGTTGATCCACATGAAACATAGGGGGAAAAAGTGACAGATATAACTGATAGACATTTTGTAATCATCAGGTTTGATTTTAAGCAAATATTTGTAATTGTTTGTTTTATTACAGAATTAGATGGCTGTGAGTTGAACAGTCTCATCTGAAATCGTTAAAATATTGTCCAATTGTATGTAGGCAGGTCAACCTGATGGCAATGCTTACAACTAACAAGTCACTTGTTTGTTTTGTTTGTTCAACAGAACAACGATGTTTCAATGGGAATAAAAGACATCTTGTTAAACATCTTGACTTTGTCTTTACTCCAGACAATATTATGAAATAGAGGGCTTTCCTCCCTCATTAAGCTGTCATGCCGTGATATGACTAGGATACTGTATAAAGCAGTGTTAAACCAAATTCACTCACTCATTGAAATAGAATGTGAGTGTGTGCTGCAATCCCATATTAAGAAGCAACAAAATTGGGTCGGGTGGTCTAGGAGTAATAGCCAGGACCCGGTTGTATCAAAGCCTCATTAACTAATGGCTACATTAAACCCTAATGATACATTAAATGCTTAATGCACCATTAGTTAATGGCATCATTAAAATCGGTTGTATCAAACGTTTATTAGCATATCATTATCTAATGATGCCTTAATGTAAGTGTCTTCATTAAGCTGTCATTAAATTCGGTGTCTCCCCTAAATATTTCCCACAATTCCTTGACGTAAACACGTACGCGTTACTTCCGGTCGTCTGTCAAAATGGCATCGTATCCACCTAAACCTAGGAATAGAAACAAGAATTTCGACAGCTCCGAAATTCAGCTATTATCTTTCTTTGACTTGAATAATTGCTCGTATTTAACGACTGGTTTGCCTGGTCCAGAATCTGTTAATTAGAGGATGCAGTGATACAGCTGGACTGCAGTGTAACACAACATTTTCTCACTTACAAACAACAAATGCTCTCACAGTAATAAAACCAGTATCTTGTGGGTCCATGTATTTTTAAAAAAAAATTTAAAAGTCTCTGAAATTTCCTAATGACCTTCACACCTCCAACACACGAGTATCAGTTGGTTTGTTTGTTGTTTAACGCCAAACTCAGCAATATTCCAGCTATATGACGGCGGTCTGTAAATAATCAAGTCTGGACCAGGCAATTGGGATCAATGACATGCATCAACCAAGTCAGCAAGCCTGGCCACCCGATCCCATTAGTCGCCTCTTACCACAGTAGTGAGTGAGTTTGGTTTAACGCCGCTTTTAGCAATATTCCAGCAATATCACGGCGGGGGAAAACCAGAAATTGGCTTCAGGCTCATCGGCGTGACGAGCGAACGCTTTAACCACTAGGCTACCCGACCGTCCCTTACCACAGAGTATCACTAATCTTTGTAAAATAAATGCGAGTGTGCTGCAATCTGATTCGCTATATCTGCTGGTATGAGTTTGAGAATCATTGACTAAAATCAACTAATCAAAGACGAATAAGTTACGAACAAAATGTGAATTCCATCCTTTTTTACAACAGGTTGTGTATTGGTTATGGCTGAAGTGAATGAGACAAGCTCTACAACAGTCTTTGAACTACGATGTCTCTGCATTGTAACCTTGTTTCAAGAAGTCCTAGCTCTGCATGTCACACTCAGGATTTTACTGCCCGTTAGAAATTATGGGAAGTATGTAAATGAAATCGTTTTTAAATTAGCACACTATACTTCAGAAATCATGTTCTTTAGATAAATGTTTATCCATGTGGTAAAGATATTACAAAAAAGTTCAATGCTATAAATTATACGAGAAACTGGCCAGAGTTAGTATTTTCCCTGCATGCATCTAAAGTGTGAATTTGGTACATGAGTTTACAGGTGCAGCTGGCGCAAATGAATGCACACCTACCTTCTTCTTTTCTTCATTGGAAAGTTAGATTAAATCCTATGTGTTTGTTAAAATACTAAATTTAGAAAATACTAAATACTCTGAATAAAGATCAGCCAGGATTGAATCCTTGAAATCTTTCAGACTTTTCACTGCGTATGAATACTTTCTTGATATAATTTCTTTTGTTGTGAATCTCAAATTAAAAAAAATGGATATGGGCAAAATGCATACTACACTAATACAATACTAAGTGTAATTGGTGTAGTTGTTTTTGTTACCTGTTTTGTCACTGCTAAACAGGCGGGTTCAGTTCTCACAGGAGCATATGGAGCATGATGTCTGGAAATTTCTGGGTATCAAATACGCAATAATACCCCCAAAATCTGATAAGACCCAATGTTTATCTCCTTATTAAGAATCATAATGCATAAATGAACAACATATGACCAGAGTGATTTTAAGACATGTTTATTGGGGTCGTGTCACTGGGTACAGAATGCATGTACAAAGGGAGACAACTCTGTATCAGACGAGTAGCAGCCATTCTTTGTTCTATGTACACACACATCTTATTCATTTGGAATGTGTTGTATTTATGAAAATGTGGAATGGTGTTGCTTTTTTACACTGAAGATGACAAATAACTGCTGTGTTTTGATATTCATCTGCAAAGAGCACAAAAAGCAGTCGAAAAATGTACCTTGGTAACACAGGAATGCGTAGAAACGACCAATGACAAATTATCTGACTACATAAGCAGAGGTGTAAAAAGATCTTCCTTGAAGGACTACTTGACATTTACGTGAGAACATCTGATGAACATTTTCACATATTTTCTCTCTGAGCCGATTGCATTCTCAGACAAATATTTACCACTGACGGAATCAAATTTTTCAATTGGTTAAGAAATTTCTCAATAATGTCTGATAATAAAAGATAACATAAGTAACAGGACTTAATCAGGTGGTGTGGACTAAACTTCGCAAAAACTTCTCATTAAAAAAATTAAACGTGCATTTTCTTCAGCATCTTGGACTTGAGAATTTGAAATATATACACAAATTTCAAATACAAATGCTCCCAATAATGGTTAAAGAATACAACATGTATAAGACTGAGTATTGAAGAAAGCATGAGATACAAAGTGATGAATGCACATTGTATTTCTAAGTCGGTTGATCATTGATATATTAACAGAGCTGTCACTGAAGAGACAAAATGTTTGAAATATACTTCTCAACATCTGATAAGGCTATTGCATATTTCAAACCATTACAAAACTCAGAGAACATCAATTTACAGAAACGCTGTTTATTTTTACCATGATCTACAGAATCTGCTGAAATGATGCTGAAATTTGTCAGTTCTAAATACTATTCGTGTGACCACTCCAAGCAAAACTTCACCATGGCCACGTAGCCACTGAGAATATCCTTATCAAAGGTTGTGCAGCATTATGTATCAGTCACTGTCTGTAAATAATATGAAATTATTCCCAATTTCCACATAAAACTACAATTATTGAAATGATCATGATTCATAATCTGTCATAATACAACTTAAAATAAACATTATTTATGTACACATGTTAACTGTAAACAACTTGCACACATATTTCAATATTATATAAATGGAATTATTCTAATATTTGAAAAATAACATTTACCAACATAATGTTTAACTTGTACTCTGAATCACATTAGCATTTTCATGACTTCATTCAAATTTAAACACACTCGTACCAACAGTGAATTTCCAAACATAATTTCGAGTCTTGAGTCTTGAGTCTTTACAATAAATAAAGACAATACAGAGAACCATGTTATAACAAATGAAACAAAAAAAATGATCAACATCGCTTTGTTCTTTCCGCCAGTTTGTTTCCGTAAAAAACATAATCTCAACATAGGGAAAACGTCATAATAAAGAGTATTTGTACCTACAATGTTGCAATAAACAAAATATGCTTATTTCTCTCTGGGAGTATCTGTTGAGTCTAACTTTATGTACACTGAACAAAAACAAGTAAGGGATCATATATTTCATGAATATTTTTTGGGATATTTTTGTCGTTGTGAAGACTAAGCACATAAAAATATCCAAAATATATTTATGATCCCTAACTTTTTTTCTTCAGTATATTTACTAATTCGGGTCTTAATCTCAAGATTATTGCAGTCAAGAATTACGACAAACTGTCTTAAATTTTTTATTAGGCAGTTGCTTTGCCAAAGAGTGGATCATTTTTTAGTAAAGAAATGCAATGCTAGTCATTAGTAGTTTTGTGTATGTCATTAATACCATTTGATTTCCAATGTTCATGAGATTCAGACTGAGCTACATCTTGCTATGTGATAAATGAATATATACAACACAATATTCCTAATGAAGGAATACAATGTACTAGCATAACACCAGGGATAAGATGCCATTTGGTAAGACATAATATGGCTATTTACAGTTTGAAATTCACAAATCAAATGATTAACAATAACTATATCAATAGACAGGATTCACTAATTGAAATACAAAAATAATATCACAATTTGTATTACAACTTGACATTGTTGTACTTTGGAATGAAATCTGTTTAAAAATTTAAAATTTATAACATGTAAATCTTATCAGGAATGTGATTGAGGAAATATTCTTCACAATGTACCACAATTTAATTGAATAGAATTGATTCAACTTGACCAAAATATTATGATTATAATAAGACATCTTATGGTATTCATACACTCGTTGACAAAATGACTGATACTATCTTCTAGACAACTATCAGCAATAGATGTTTTATTTGATAAAATTTATTTTCGGATGTTTTTATTCCATACTTTGGCAAGTTTATTGTAATATTCTTAAACTATTGTTAATATAGAAAGTGAAATATTTTATTCCTAACCTGCTACTACCCCCAACTCTGCTATGATGCAATATGAAAATATGAATTGCACACATTTTGGCATATACTGAAAATTTACAAGAAAACATGAAATTTATTTTATGCAGTTTATACATATATAATGACTATGACAGCATCAGGGAAGCAAGAAATGTTCAAATCTTTATACGTACCATAGGTGGATACATCTTTTTTGAAAAGGGGGGGTGCACAATTAAGATCTATTTATTGTCTTTGGTGGTAATTTATACAGAAATAAAGATTTTTTTCGAAATAAAAAGGGGGTTTGTGCACCCCCCCCCTCTGTATCCACCCATGCGTACAAAGGAGGGACAAGTATCTAAAATATCTTAAACCTTCCGTGGACAATGATTACATGAGAAACATCATGCAGTTGTGACATCAGTAGAAACAAGCATCATGGATAACGGGATATTTACAAACACGACAATTTGTCCATGAAGAAATTATTTTCCAATATTTGTAAAAATACTTTGACGCAAACTGTAATGGAATGAGATGGTTGTGTTCGGTACCTAGCCAAAAACATGTGTAAGAATAACTACATCCCATCCATTGTTCCCGAGACTACACCCTAATATGTGGCCATAAAAGCAGTTTATATGTGATGATACAGATAACAAAGTTGAAAGATTTATACACAAAAGGAGATCACAAATATTGCTATTCATAACATAACAAAAAAAACAAATTCAACATTCACAAGACTATAACTCCCTCCTTGGCAAAATATTCACCGTGATAAATACTCACCAATGCACATCCTACAATCAGGGTCTGGGAGTGGTTTATATATGGAAATAGCACACGATGAGGTGAAACCTTATACATTGTAGCACATTGTTGCACAGAGAATTACTAAACACATATTTGTACAAAGAACCGCAATACACATCGTTACACAAAGACAGCAAAACAATGAGATTGTTGACAGTCATGAATATCTAAATACATGTATGTATGCTGTTATATATACAAAATACAAATTGATGTAAGTGCCGGAAAACGGACAAATTGTGAATTATAAGGCTCCCCTGTAAGGAAAGGATTCCATTTTGAAATTATCTTGATATATGTTTTGGCATTGCTCTAGTATTTGGGTGCTTGATCTGGATGTAGGTTGTTTCTAACTAAGTGTGGTGACATACTAAATGAATACACACATTACAGTAATCGAAAGCCTTTCATATATTGTAAACAATGACGTCAAACATGATGAAGTCTGAGCTGTATTTACAGCCGTTTAAACACTCCCTGAAAACTGGCACTGGCTCCCCATCTTCATACAGGCTCCATGTATCAACAATGTATCCATGGATCCACTTCATCTTGAAGCCTTGTCTTAATAATGGATCCACGTTTCTCAGTTGGATCCTTATGACAATGCCGGATTCATGTAACAATGCCAGATCTATGTCTAAGTAACGGATCCATGGTTCAGTAACAGATCCTTGTGTGGATCTAAGTCCTAGCAAGATGAACCCTGAGTGTCCTGGACAGAGTTTATCCAGGTGTGTCTGGAACACTGACGACAGTGTTACTGCTGTGTGCACAACGCACATCGTTATATACAACCTTTAACTTTCTTGATTCTCGGCGCATAGTTGTCTCTTGAATGTCAAGTTATATTCATACACATCTGGGTTGTTTGCAGTCAGAGAACAGATGTTTAGATTATTCTGCAAATAAAAAATTCAAAATGAATATATCATCCATATATTTAAGAGTGCATTATTTAAGCATGTAGCTCAAACCTCATTTATTTAAAAGAAAAATCAAAGAGCTAGACTGTAAATGGGCTTCATTAGTTTAAATATCTTGGCATCTAAAATTTAAAAAAACTGAAATTTTGAAATAACACACATTATGGCAATAAATTCATGAAAGAAAATTATTGCGGTTTATCTTCAAACCCCACTGTTGTACTGTTATTTAAACATTGAGGGCATTTTGAGGAAGGAAGTTCTTTTTTTACCCCATATGCCAAAAAATGTATTTATGAATGAAGCATGAAGATGTGGAAAATGAAACTGTTTTCCAGTAAACAAGCTCTAATAGAAAGATATTGAACTCATGAATATCAACTTTACATTTTATACAATTGTTACAGGTCAAACTGAGCAGCCACTTACGTCAGGGCTGATTCTGAACTTGTAGGTGCTTGTGTAATGGAGACCGATGGTCAGGTCAAACTCAGCATTTGTGCTCTGAAATACAAAAATGGAAGGTGAAGGAAGGTTATCTCCCTTGGGTAGTTTGCAAGAAAAGGTATTCACAAAACATTCTGTTTGAAACAATTTTCTTCATGGTGATAAAAAAACACCAATGACTCCCCCGATTCCGGCTTAGAATTGGTCCCCAGCAACCTATGGTTGTTGTATGAGGTGAGTCAGGTGACTGAATGTATCGGTTGCTTAGGCTCTGTGACTTGGTCAACTGCGTGACATCGTTCCCCAACTGTGTGGATCAATGCTCACAATATCAGTTGGGAGCACGGGTGGCCCAGTCGTCTAAGGCGCCGCGATTCGCTGTGCAGAGTTGCCTCCATTGGGCACGCCAGAAACCTATCATTGTGGGTTCGAATCCCGGTTCGCCCCAATTATGTTTCTAGATTTGTCAGCACCATACCTGTGCTCGTGGGTTTCACCAAACTGGTAAACATCTGAGATCTGCATCATTTCAGGCTTTCCTCCCACATTAAGCTGATGTGCCGCAATATAACTGGAATATTGTTAAAAGCGGCGTAAAACCCAACTCACTTACTCACTCACAATATCAATTAATGAATTGTTTGGTACAACTCGACTTTTTACAGGCTGACAACATGTAGCTGGCGGCGTTTAACAACAAACAAACAAACAAACAAATCATACCGTAAGTTTGTATCCCTTATCCGAGACCCTACCGGAGCTGGCTTCAAGACATGATGGGGTGAAGGAGTCATTGCAGAAGGCAACCAGAACAGGTCGGTCCGTCCTGAATACACACAAACACAGTGTTAAATGTTCCGAGGTCGCTAGAAATAGCACTTATCAAAACAGATGAATTCTTTTCTTCATTTGAATCTTTTTTTCTCAATCCCAAATTTGAAAATGTGATGTTTTTTTGGGTAAATGGATTCAACATTCATAATATGCTAATTGTGATAAATACAAGACCATGGATTTAGTTTTGTCTAATTCTGATAACAAGGCGGGTTCATTTGTCAAGGAACCATTTGATTTCATCCACTGGTCATGACATAATAGCATTCCAGAGTGATGTCACATTTGTCTAACAACTGTGAAAGTGCACGGTGGGAGAGTGTGCCACAGAAATGTACTGATAACTTCTGTATCTTACATTGTCAATAAACATTGTGTTTCAAATACTCAATAACATCCTCCTGTTTATCTACAAAAGGAATCAATCCATGCATCGAATACTCGATAAACACCTTCCTGTTTATTTCAAAAGGACTTATTCCATACATCAAATATTTGGTAACACCCTCCCGTTATCTCCACAGATCCGTGAAGATCCGGAGTAGAATAGATCTTCAGCAATCCATGTTTGCCGTAAAAGACGACCATGCTTGTCGTAAGAGGCGACTAACGGGATTGGGTGGTCAGGCTTGCTGACATGGTTGATGCTTGTCATCGTATCCCAAATGCATGGATCGATGCTAATGATGTTAATCACTGGACTGTCTGGTCCAGACTCGATTATTTACAGACTGCCATCATATAGCTGGAATATTGCTGAGTGTGGCGTTAAATAAACAAACAAACAAACAAACAAACAAACGTTATCTCCAAAAGGACCTACTTGAATTGAATGGTGACGGGCATGGAACCGAAGAAGCGGCTGACCTTGGCCAGGTAGGAATTATTGCGACCTTCACAGGCCCCTTGCACCCTGCAATACTCAGGGCCGATTGTGAAGTTAAGTTGTTTGATAACAATCTGGGGTCGCAAAAGGTCTTCGGGAACTGAAAATATAGAAAACCAAACCATTAATTAACCGTTTTTGTGTATGTGCATTTGTCTGCATGTTACCGTAGCAACAGTTGAATAGATATAATCCTTCAAACAGCCATACATTATGGCATCCAATGAGAATCACACTGTAATATCTGAATTAATTTTCATTTTTTATTTGTATAGGAAGCAATTATTGTGTCCAGTAAATCACTGACTCTTGTTTTAGTAGAGCTTCAAGTGACAGAGCTTAAAGTGTCTAAGGGAGAATCCATTTTATTTCTATGGGGGGTGAGTGGGAATTCTTTTGCTATTTTTCCCCAGCTGAATCCAACAAACTATTTATTTTCGCTATTAACACCAAAAACTTATGTTTGGGTACTTCCCACTAAACAAACGACATTTACTCACAACATTTATTTTTTCACCGCTGCCAACAACTGTTCATTATAAGGAATTCTCCTTTCAAGCCCAGTTCATTGTAATTTTTTCATTTGAACCAGCATGTCAGACATAAATAAGGCTAAAGAAGACAATAGTCTTGGTTCTCAGGCACCACCCGCATCATCATAATGTCTGCCACATGTTTCGTTTTTATTTCCATTTTAAAAAAAATATTAAAATCCAAATACTTAAACACAATGCACAAAAAAATTGAAAGTGGAAAGGAAACGTGCAATGAACTTTATGATGATGTAGGCAGTGCCTGAGAACCAAGACTATCATTTTTTTTAGCCTACCGGTAAGTGAAACAAAATCACAAAGTGTGGAATAATTGCACGTGATAATGTGATAACCATGATCAACAATAAACACATACTGTAACATCACCTAACAATCAGTTTGAGGGAACATGACGCAAGCGTTGAAAATCTGACTACTAGACGCATGTGAGTATCTATCACTGCATTGTTTATAGAAACAAATGCCTTATTATTGACTTATATACAACCACAGCAAGCATCAAGTCGCCACTTTAGAGTGAGTTTTGAACAGTATTTCAAAGTGAGTTAAACCAGTAATTGGCTGCTAGTATTGGAGTCTACATAACTGCCCACTCACCAGTATTTCTTTTCTTCCTGTAGTAGTGATGGATGTTGTTGTCATCATTGTTGATGACATGGTAGCCATCGTTGTTGATGACGATTGGGGTGTTTTGCGATTCATTGGGAATGTCGATTGTGAACGTGTTGTAGTGGGGAGTAGTCTTCTGAGTCTGAAAACAAAACAAGAACTGAAGCATCTAGCGGGATGAATGAATCTGTGGTGAGGTGAGGTGAGGTGAGGTGAGGTGAGGTGAAAACAAAACAAGAACTGAAGCATCTAGCGGGATGAATGAATCTGTGGTGAGGTGAGGTGAGGTGAGGTGAAAACAAAACAAGAACTGAAGCATCTAGCGGGATGAATGAATCTGTGGTGAGGTGAGGTGAGGTGAAAACAAAACAAGAACTGAATCATCTAGTGGGATGAATGAATACAGATACCCCACTCAGACACAGTATACTGACTCCGAGCCGACCAGTCCTTGTTTCATCCCGTTTTAGTCATTGTTGGCAGGGTAACAACAAGTACCATCTTTTAACATCTTTAGGTATGATGCAGCTGGTGATCAAACCATTGATTTTCCACTCGTCGGGGTGACACTCTATCCACTTCATACACTGACCAGGTTGTCAGTGAATCTGGGACCTGAACCCATGACCATCCGATTGTGACACAGTAAAGGTATTTGGTGCTTAGTCCACTGGGCCACCTTCAGGCCCCAGTCAATGACCAGACGATGACATATGATCTTCCTGATGAGTGAGCTCTGTTGAGTGGGGGTGAAGTGAGTTGCTCCAGTGACAGATTATAGGCTGACCATCGGGGCCACCCAATCCTCAATTTAATCATCTCTTGTATTGAGAGTATTGGGTTTTCCACCACTTTTAGCAATATTCCAGCAATATCAAAACAGGCAGTGAAATGAGCTTTGCACATTGAAACCTTTGGTGTGCCAATTAAACAATTTAACCATTAGGCTAGCTTCACAGCTATGTGTGTGTGTGCGTGTGTCTGTGCCTGTGCGTGTGCGTGTGCGTGTGCGTGTGTCCACAAACAGAATAAAATTAAAGCAACGAAAGTGAGGTATTACTTACCACAACATTGGAGTGTGGAACAGGATCTGAAATGAAAGTAAAACACAAATTAATATTTGCTAACTGAGATCAAACTAGCACACTTTGTTAACTGGTTTAGTTGTATGTGACAGATTGGAATTTACATATGCCGTGGAGTGACTATTGTTTTATGCTGTTGTCAGCAATATTCAACGATATCACTTCAGCCTGAAAATAATCAAGTCTGGACCAGGCAAACCAGTGACTGAAAGCATGAGCAACGATCCACGCATCAAGCAGGACACATGGAGCCACAAAGCCTAGCCAACAAATCCTCTTTACAAACAGCTCATGAGATTGGGGACCTATATTGCCCTGCAATCCATACCGAGCAGAGATAGCAAATTAATCTTGTTTTATGCAAGTCAGCAGTATTCAAGCTGATATGATAACAGTTGATAAGAATCCACAGTTTGGGTATGCTGACACACAAGAAGCCAGGCCACACACCCATCCTAACTTTGTCATCTCTTAGATTATGTATGAGGTACCGAGGGCCCATTCTAACCCAGATTCCCTGGGGATGGGTGGCTCTTCCCTGACACCTACTCTTGTGTTGATGTGGGTTCGGCTCGTCCTCCTGGGGCGGGGAACAGCAGCGAGGCTCACACTCAGTACAAACAGGGTAGGCTGGAATTGTCATCGTCGTCACAGAGTGGGGAACTGTTCACAAAAAACAACATAATAACAAAAACAACAACAACCGACTGAAGCTACTCGCTGTGGTGGACATTTTTACCCCAATCAGTTGATCAGTTTGCACTCTAACTTCAATCTCATCTCAGTACACAAACCAAGCTGCACTATGAGCTGCTACAGGCACATTACCAACCCATCCTACCGGGTACCCATTCACTGCTGAGTGAACGTGTGTGGCTGATTGTAAAATGAACAGGTGTTTGTATTGTAATCTGATTCTTTTATCATATTTAGGTAAAGAGACTAAATCTTTATTAAAACAGTTTACAAGCAGGACATAAAAGGAATAAATATCTATGAACTAAGAAGAAAATGGCATCATTTGGTGATGAATGGTTCGAGGGTATTTATTTAACAGAATGGAGATATACACTGAATAATCACGGGTGCTAAGCTAGATGTTCCAGTCTGAGTGAGTGAGTAAGTGAGTGAGTATGGTTTTACGCCGCTTTTAGCAATATTCCAGCAATATCACAGCAGGGGACACCAGAAATGGGCTTCACACATTGTACCCATGTCGGGAATCGAACCCGGATCTTTGGCGTGACAAGTGAACGCTTAAACCACTAGACCAGCCCTGTTCCAATGTGAACCTCATGTCAAGTGAAGTTACCTGTAGTTGTGGGAGGTTCTGGTCGGAGTTTAGGTGTGGTATGATCGCGCCGTGGAGGGAGTGTAGTTGATGTCATCATAGGCAGCGCTGTTGTATTTATTCTGTAGAGTAAGACAAAAACATCTGTTTACCACTATTATCCACACAACTAATTAGGGTCAGCTGACGATGATAAGAACTTCTGTTGAAAATCGAAAAGATTTTTATGGATAGATGACAGCCAAATTACTTGATTATGGCAATGATGTAAGAGGCATGGTATTCGAAGGAATTAAATCTGTCTGAGAATCTATTTTGGTCTCAGCCTATTTTACTTGACTTTAGGAATACTTCTTTTTAGTTTCAACCAACTGGAGCCACGATCAGAAAATAAGAAATTAAGAAATGTTTTAAATTTAATTCTTGTTTGTTCTTGCACGGATTAGGAAAATAAAAAAAGAAACAACAAAAATTAGTTATCAGTTCTACCCACTTTGGTAACGTCGTCCCCTGTGATGCAGCAACTACCGATGAGCCCTTGGAGAGTTCCTGGGTATTCCGCCGCTCTAAGATGTACAGTGTGGTGATTGCTACCAGACTGAAGCACAAAAATAACAAAGATGTAGACATTTCTTTACTTAAAGTCAAAAATAAATATGTTATCTTATTTGAAACAATATATACACAAACTAAAAAAATAATATCCAAATGGAGCCCAGAACAATACTTAATTTCTGGCTGAGGCAATCTGGACTTGCCAAATCATTCTAGACTTGAGTAGGATTCATTTTTTAATTTATTCTCTTGGGTCTGGGAGACAGTCTAGCTCTTAGTTGTCTCTTATGTAAACATTGGAGGTTCTGGGGACCTATTCTGACCAAGAACGCTGGGTGTGTACAAAATTATAGAAAACTTTATCCTTAAGTCATTTTTTTTTAATAACGACACTAGTATCTGTACTAAAACATCACATTTAAAGAATAAAGAATTTGCAATCTGTGTCAACACTTTGATCACTTATCAATAACTTGATAAATTCTTTATTGTCCTTGAGACGTCAAGCCTCAATGTATTCAAAAATATTTGTTCTCACCAAAATGCCATGATGAGGATGAGGATGATGATGGTGATTTGGATGAATCGGTTGCTGCACAGCGACTTCACTCTGCTGGGAGGCGGCACCTGGTGGCGGCTGTGCTTGTGCCCAGGCTTACTGTTGCCATGGTGATATGAGTGTGATTTCTTTGGTGGCGCACTACTGCTGTAATATCGATATAATAAATAGATATTAACATTCATAAGTACAATGGCAGGAAATAATAATTAAATACTCTACATTTCAACAATTACAACTTAAAAACTGAATACGGTCTTGTAATAACAGAGTGGTGGCAGTGTAACACAATTCTACTAAAATCAGATATCCACAATGTAATGGCACAGCCTTTATTATTTACATTTGGAACTGGTCACCAGAAAAATTTAGAAGCCTTGGCTCTGATTAAAAAGTTTTCGTTACCCATCACATATGATGGGGTTGTCATATACTGCAGAGAGGTTTCGTATCAGAGTAAAAGATCTGATTAAAGATTGCAGTATTCAATAGCCGAGGGGTGCAGATGTTTCTCTCACCTAACGGTACTAACACTGGACACAGACTTCAAACTCATGTTGGACTTGAGGCTATCAAATCGCTTCAGTTTGGCAAGCTTCTTGTTCATGACCTCGAGTTCATCAATCCTGTTCTCCAAGTTGTCCGTCAGCTTGCACAGCTCCTTCACGGCTCCAACGTTTTCCATAAACAACCGGTCCTGTAAATATAGTCATGAAACACGATAAGTCAACTTTCATACTTAGTGAATGGTTTGTATTGAGGATCATTATTTGTTCAGAGTCCCAGATGCAGTCATCAACATACCCATTCTCTGGGAGCAATCTGGTAGATTATAAATGAACAGGTTACCATGGCAACCAAAGACCAAATTCAAAAAGCAGCTCACAATACCATGAAAACAGACATAAAGTGAAATAATTAAACTGACCACCTTGAAAATTACCTTTCTTCAAAAGAAAAGTAAGCCTCATGAAAAAGAAATTCAGGTAAAGATATTAACAAAAATATCTTACAAATGATACAAATATCTTGTCTCACCTTTCTTACAACCAAGAAGTTCTCGATGCGCTGACCGTTTGGCAGTATGACATCCCCAGTCTCCTGGACGGCGTCTGGCAACACCTCCATCATCTCCTGCGCGATGACGCCGGTGTCGGTGCGCTGGTTGTCCTCGATGCCGGCACTCTCGGCGTAGTCCTGGCTGTACTGGTACTTGTAGAGGCGGAGCTGCTGGACCTTCTGTAGCGCCTCCTTCGTATTCACCTGACATGAACACAACATTTATACATTGAGACGATATTTACACCTTGTAACACAACAGTTGTACCTTGTCACACAACAGTTGTATCTTGTCACACAACAGTTATACCTTGTCACACAACAGTTGTACCTTGTCACACAACAGTTGTACCTTGTAACACAACAGTTGTACCTTGTCACACAACAGTTCTACCTTGTAACACAACAGTTATACCTTGTAACACAACAGTTGTACCTTGACACACAAAATATCTTGTTACACAATAATGAGTGAATGTTGTTTACAAATCTGCAGGCAGCACTATCCCACATCATTGCAGCCTGCCAACATCTAAGTCTTCACAAACTAGTGACTAAAAGCATGAGCAAAGACCAACACTAATTGCAAACCCAAAGGACTCAAAAAAGATTTCTTACCTCCTGCAGATTTTCTTTGGCCCGAATATCTGATGGTGACATGAGGTGACCGGTCAGTTTAAGGTTGCCGTGGACGGTCATGGCTTCGTCCGGGTGGTCAGTGTTGACGCCAACTCTGCCGACGTGGAACACAGAGTCCTGGGTGTGTCCCTTTGACCACAATACGTCCACATCACTGTCAAACTGGCCAGGGTTGGATGCCTGCAAAGAAAAGTGCTGTGGGATATTTTTGGGGGCTCAATGATTAATACAGAATGGTCAGGTTGCAATTTGTTTCTGCACAGGTGGCACCAAAAGTTTCCTGTGAAAATGGACAAGTTGCCAGAATTTGCTATTATCATCATTGTCATTGTTGTAATCATCATCATCATCATCATTCTTGTATTGATTTTCATTGTCATTGACAGTATCATTATTGTGTTATCATTATCATCCTTCTTATTATCACTATTGGTATTGTAATAATCACAATCATCATCATTTCAACAATTATGATTATGATTATCATCATCATTATTGGCAATATAGCCTTACCCTGACAATGATCCTCTCGGAGCTGCTGGCTGCGACCAGGTAGCTGTTATCCCCACTGTGGGCCTGAAGTGCCACCACCAACATGAAATAGCGCTGGTCCGGGTTAGGCTTGCCCTTCTTGCGCATGTTATTGGATGTGGTCTCACTAAAGTGCAGCCGACCAACGGTAACCTTGGTAACCTGATCAGAGTGCACATCAACTCTGGAGGAAAGCAAAATACACAATACAGCATTTCATCCATCACGGAGATGAGTGTTAGTCTTGTTACCGATTTTGATTTGGAAATATTTTTGCTGGCATTGAAAGATGCTAAACAGAGATATATCTAGAGGCCGATAATCTGCCCCAAAGCTGCAGTAACTGCCATTAAAAATTCCCAAAATGGAACTAAAAGTTTCCCAATTTATGCTAATATATGTTACAAATAGCTTTTAGGGGTTTGTAGAAATAACCTGTATTTCCATGAAAACATGAATGAATAGGAAGGTGTTTCAATGCTGTTAATATTTGATTTCATTGAATGCAATCTCAAAACATAATGTTACAATGGACCTCCCCCTGAATCTAAGAAAAAAAGAACTTTCAAAAATCCCAATTTGGAACAAAATAAACATTTGTGCCTGTTTTCGGCACTTAGTATAGAACTCTGGATAAATCTCTGGCTACATCAAACTATTAACGGCAAAATCCTTTTTATTGTAAAAAAAATGCAACTTTATTTTTAATCAAACTGTTGGTATACTGAGGTGAGAAATAAAATAAAACCAGTCCACAGTCACTTCCAGTTTTTACAACCACTGATGTAATAACTTTATTTCCGCCTCAAGACAAAAATCAAATCTTCATACAACAAGCATCCTTAAACTGTAATGGTTGATTCTCACCCACAAGAGGGGCGGTCGGGTAGCCTAGTGGTTAAAGCGTTTGCTCATCACGCCGAACACAAACGGGTTTGATTCCCGACATGGGTACAACGTGTAAAGCCCATTTCTGGTGTCCCCTGCCATGATATTGCTGGCATATTGCTAAAAGCGGCGTAAAACCACATAGATTTAGTTGCATGTGACCGGATACTGTTTTTCCTGGCTTGATCAATAACCCAAGTGTTCAGTCATGACACACAATCAACCCCAGTTACTGAGGCACACCATTCAATTCAGTCACTGCTTATGACAAGCAGAGTGCTGGTGACCTTTTCTGACTGGGGTCCCTACCGGTGCATGACAGGTGACTTGCAAGATGACAGATACTCACTTGACAGGGTAGAAGGACTTCTTACTTCTGTCCGACTGTGACTGCTCTATCTTGATGACTTGTGATGCTGACTCCATCTGCAACATCATGCATATCTTTACATTCATGAAAATAATTAGTGCCCTCTTTAAAACTGTTAAGTACACTTAAGATGAACATGATCATGACACACTTATTCCACGGTCTTTCAAGACATAAATATCACATGTCCGTCTAGTATGTTTAGTGGATTTACGCAAAGTGTGCACACCAGTTTTAACATTCATATCTCCATAAACGCAAAAGAAATATTGAAGTCAGTTCATATAAATAAGTGTAGTCAACAATAATTACTTCACAGACTGCTTATATAATTATTAACACAGTTCTAACTCAGATGTTCATGGGTACCAGTATGCTTAAAGCACAATATCATTAAAATCAGAACTTAGTTCTCGCTTCCGCTAAACAAAGATCTGAGGACATCCCAATACGGGTCACGTCAGCACGACCTTTAATCCAACCAATCAGAGCATCGCTTACCAGATCATGAAAGTGACAGTCGAAATGTGTTTTCTAATCATGCATCCTCGAAATATTTAACAGAGGGTATTCCGAACGACAGTAACAGGTTTTATGATTATATCCATACAATCTAGGCCATCTATAAGTCATTCCAGAATGTTGTTTTGGTCAGTTTTAAAATTTTTTAATCAAGATTATGTCAAAACATGTTTCGAAGCGTAGTCCCCAGTTTGAAACTAGTGCCGTAAAGCCTGAGATAGCTGCCTTCTGATTGGCAAATGTCGATTTCTTGTCAGTCATTTCATTGGTCGGTCAATGTTCGCGAAAGGTCATTCCGACGTGACCCGTAATGGGATGTCCTCTGATCTTTGGTTAGCGGTAGCGAAAACTAAGATCTGATGTTAATGAGATTGGCTTAAGGATGGTTATGATGTAGAAACTAAAGGAACAGGAACATGCATTCATTTCTTTGAAAACACTGTTCTCAATAGAATTGGTTTGCAGTGAGCATATAAATCATTAGAATACTCTAATACCGTGGAACCTCAAATTATTCCTCAGGCTTAATCTCAACATGAAATGTTAACTCTCATGAACATTATCTAACACCCCACGTATGTCATTCTTACCTTAATACCATGAAAATGCAGATGAAAGCTTTCTATCTTTTTCACTCCTTCTGTTGTTCGGACATATTTAGTGTCTGCTAGGGATCCAATGTGAACTGTAACCTGGAAGTGATTTTTCTTCTGGCAGACAAAGGCGTCATCTGGCACCGAGAAGTTAAACCCTTTGTCTGCGTCGACACGATATGATGGTGTTGGACTGGAATAATAAAGTACATGTGACACTGAGCCTGGATTTGTACAGACCAAAATATTCAGGACAAAAGACATGGCTTTATGGAGGAAGACATATTGTACGAGGAGCCTCACTTCCATTTACAAAAGTTATCTCCCTTACTTAAAAATCACTAGGTGTCACACGTTACTTTCCCTTAATCAATCTTTACAAAGGACATAACATACATCTACCCATATATAATACCTAAACAGGATCAAATATTACATTCAAAATGAAATGTGAAGGTTTATTTATATAAATCAGAGTTACTTCCCTTCCCATACTGATTACTTGGGAGAGTTGTTTTCTCCTCGGAGTTACTTCCCTTCCCACTGATTTTATCCAAGCTCCTTCCCAGCGCGTGACACCTTCGTTACGCTCTTGGTAACATCGCTGCCACCAGTGTGGGCTCGGCCATTACAAGAATCTTGAAATTTGCCCTCTAACCCCATATGTAGTAACGTTTATACTTTTGTTTATGTCTTTGGAAATGCCATCATATTTGATTTTGAAAAGGTTTCAACTGACCATGTTTTCCAGATGAATTTTCTTTGTTGATTTAATAATCAGATTGGTTCGAGATTGCAGACTAACGGAAAATCAACCAACTTCTCCCTTACATTCTTGGTGTATCAATTAAAGATGACACCTTTAATGATATAGAAATTCAAATTGACAAAGAAAGTAATTCATCAGCAGTAAGTGTATTCGGTGTCACGACAGTCGTTTGTAAACATAACGGTCATTCGGTTGCAAGTCATTCCAAGCATGGTTGGGGCCACCTATCAGAGTGGGGAGTTTTGACTGGTGGCAGCGATAGTATAGAGAGCTCTGCGAACGGACTATCGCTGTGAGGGGCTTGTGATTTTTCAAGCTCCTTCCCACATTTGACACCTTAGTTACCCTCCTGATATCATCACTACCACCAATGCACCCATCACATGAATCTTAAACATTTTCTCTCAAACCCCAAATGTAGTGACATTTATATTTTTGTGTGTGTCATAGTGTATGCCATGATAGTGTATTGGGAAATGGTTTACAGGGGGAGTTTAATTTTCAATACTGAAAATCCTCTTTGGGGAAAACAGACATTTTGGTTTCCATAACGACAACACTTACATGTCCTTGAGTTCTCCATCTGTCAACACACTATACTTCTGTTGGTTATAAGGCTGCCATTTAATAACTTGATATGTACTGTCGGTGAAGCTGCCATCAATGTCGTAGGAGTAGTCGTCGTCCCCGCTGCAGTCTGGCACTGCGTAACCAGGGAATGGTGACTGGCCTGGGAGAGGACATGAATTCCTCATAAATAGATCGGGAGGGTCCAGGCCTGTAGGAATAGAACATGAGAGAGGGTTTATTTCAGTCACTCTCTTGGCGGAATTGTTAGTCAATGAATAAGAGATCTGGGTTCAACACTCCTCTGCACAGTGTGTCAGTATATTTTACTGTGTGCCAGTTTTACTGTGGGAATAGTTCTCGTGCAAATCTTGGACAGGTACTACATTTTTAAAACCTACAAGTACTGGTATAGCTCTGACAAAATATCATAGGTGACTTGAAATGGGGTCGCATTCAAGATTATTTCACTTATATAGCGACATGCATGCACATGTGTGTGTCTGCTTGGTGGGGGGGGGACTGATGCTGATGTATAGTCCTAGCCAACTGAGACACTATGCCGCAGTTTAGCATGAATACCCCACTCAGACACAGTATACTGACTCCGAGCCGACCTTGTTTTAGCCCCTTAATGCCGAGCGGCAGACAGCGTAACAACAAGTATCATCTTTTAACGTCTTTTGGTATGATGTGGTCAGGTATCGAACCCCTGACCTTCCGCTATCTGGGCAGACTACTCTCTCTACCACTAGACTATGGAGGTGGTCGACAAAAGATCATAATTTGAGCTTATCAGTCGATTCTGGCACTACCAAGGGACATATGGGGTCATCCAAAGATTACTAGATACAAACATCTAAATGACCCCGAGTATTCCTCCACAAAGGGATGTCAGTGCTGTCATAAGCATATGCTAAGTGTGGAAGTTAGTTTTTCAGAACTAAGATCACATGTGCCCTCGACTAACAGTCGATGGTTGCAATGATGTTGCTATACCTGCTGGTTCCTGCTTGATGCTGACAATACTGTTCATGCCGTTGAGCATGTTGGTCATCATTGTGTTGTTGGGGGAGTCAGGGTACTTGCGCTTCTTCGTAGGCTGGCCTTGAAGGTTGCTTATGCTGAGATGGCAGTAGATAATCAGATATCAGTAAAATGACACAGTTAACTATAGTAAAATGAAAGAATTGGGTGATCCTTAATTTCTTTTGAGTAGTATATATATCGGATCTTCCTATGATGTATAGTCTGAACCATTTGGTATGATAACTTTGGTTTGTACTGCCAGAGGCAGGCAAATTGGGAGAAATAAGTATTTCGTTAAAAAATGGAATTTTTGTAAAAGTTCATGTTTTCTTAAATTCAGAGGTATTTTGAAATTGCATTTAATGCAATAATAAAATGAAGCATTGAAACCTGTTCCTATTTATTGGTCTTCTTTTTGGTGAATACAGGTTATTTCAACAAGGCCATAATAATAGTTATATATATTAATACTGGTAACATGAATTGGGAAATGTTTAATTCCAAATCAGGAATTATTAATGATATTTGCTGTAGACTTGGTGCTGAAAATCAGCCCTTGAGCAGGTCTAGCTATAGTCTGGAAGGTAATTTAAGGTACTGACGTTTACGACAATATCTGAAAAACTATCAGACCTACTCCAGTCAAAGTTGGTGTAAGATTATTAAACAGTCATACATAACTGGATATTACATTTAAAGACAATCGGTGCATGAATACAAAATCTGTCTATTTAGCTATCACTATATTTCATCAACAACCAGACCTGTTCGTCACATGTGGAACGAGCATTCATTGAAACAGCTGCACCATGACACAGTTGAACCAATCAACTCAACTCGAAAGGGTGCACAGGAATCACGCACGCACGCACAAATACGGTGTTAGCGTTGGGCGTCTCAACGTGCGTGATTCACGAATTTTTTATTCATGCACTGATTGTCTTTAAATGTAATATCCAGTTATGTATGACTGTTTAATAATCTCATACCAACTTTGAGTTTTTCAGATATTGTAGTAAACGTTGGTACCTTAAATTACCTTCCAGACTATATATCCCTGTACACTGAGACATGACTCACCTGCCAAAGTGGGGGTTCAGTATCTGGTGGCTATGAGGTGGTGTCATCTGGTGGGGGTGGGGATGAGGTGTGGGCGGCGGCTGTGTTTGGGGCAGGTGGTTAAGCTTGGGGGGCTCGTGCATGTAGCCTGGTAAGTGCCCCGGGGGTGGTCCTGGGGGTGGTCCCTTCCCTGGCATCTGGATGTGAGTTCTGTGTTGGGGGTACATCGGGCCGGGTATTGTGGTCACTGGAACCATCGAGTGTGGCTTGGGGTCTGCAATGGAAGACAACAAAATAACAAACTATTTTGAACAATTTTAAGATACTGTAGTGCAACAGGTATATCTAGTTTGACTGGTTCAATAACATTGGCAGTGTCACAGTTTAAAGACCACCCTGTAATTGGCAAAAAGATAATTGTGATCAGTGATCAGTAATCAATAAAATAATTGGTTTTAATGTTTCCTATCTACAGTAATTAAGAGGAAGTTTTGTATAATGCTTAGTCATTCAGTCACTTGATCATGATCAATATTTATTTGTCTTGCAGTGCTGTTTAATTAGGTAATTGGTACCCAGAGTATCACACTATGTCAGAGTGAGTGAGTTACATGAGATTTTATGCCTTCATTCATTATTCCAGTCATATCATAACAGTGGTGCCAAGAATCGGTCTTATGCTGCTTTGATCAGTATTTCAGGAAGGGTGTGACACAGAGAGTAATGAAGCAGGACATCCCTTAAAGACATGGGACATTTAATACACATTTAGAGAAACCCTAAATCATACTCAGGGCTAATCAGGAATTGAAAATCATGATTATCAGATCCTGGCATGACTAAGGGAGGCAACTATGCACAGCAATTTGGGGAGCCTCAGACAACTGGACATGCCTCATTCAGAATACAAAACTATGAACAGATGTCAAGAGTGCTACATCAATTTTGTTTCATAAACTCCTTGTTCTTCATCAGCGTAGGGATGGTTGGGTAGGCTAGTGGTTAAAGTGTTTGCTCGTCACGCCAAAGACCTGGGTACAATTCCCCACATGGGTACAATGTGTGAAGCCAATTTCTGGTGTTGGCTGTCACTATATTGCTGGAATATTGCTAAATGCAGCACAAAACCATACTCATTCATTCATCAGTATAGACATTAGGGCTGGGACGGTTAACTCGGGTACTTGGGTAGAGTGGGTACTAAGTAGGATCCAGGTAACCACAGGGCTACCCGGACCTGTGGTTAGTCATGTGATATATTGTTTAATGACAAAAATGAACTATATGGTTACACTACAAGTCACTATTGTTCCCATTTCTTTCTGACTATGCACCCATTCCTTCTAATTGTTATATGTTTGAATAAAGATAAAACTTCAGTCAACTTCAGTGTATGCATGACCAGAATGTTTTATAAGTGTATCTGAATACATTTTGTCCAGGGCTACAGTCAAACTATTCCCAATCGGACATTCTGTGCCTATCTCTTGAAACCTACAGCAGGTACCCGGGTAGGGTAGGGAAATCTTGGGGTGGGTACCCAGGTAGTAAATTTGGACTTATCCCAACCCTTAAAGGCATAACAGTAGACAGTGACATCCATATTGACAATCTTATTGATTACTTAATCAATCACACGAGCCATAGTGAGTGAATGAGTGAGTATGGTTTCATATAGCTTTTAGCAATATTCCAGCAATATCACGGCACCACACACCAGAAATGGGCTTTACACATTTAAACCATATCGGGAATTGAACCTGGGTCTTCGGCCTGACGAGCGAACGCTTTAACCACTAGGCTACCCTCCCGGCCCCACACGAGCCATAGGATAATGTGAATTTCTTTATCGGCTGTAGTCTCGAATTTTTACTTCATCTTATTCTTCATCGAACTTATGCAAACATACCTAATAAAATATTTTTAAAGATGCTGCAAAACTTTATGACAAATTTTTAACTTAAAAAAATATTGTGTGAAGAGTTCCTTCCAAGAGAAGATCCTCCCCGAAGTAACTAACCCCATCATCTCTTGCCAAAAGTAAAGAAACCTTCCACAAGTGCTTATTTTTATTACATTTACCCAAATATTTACACGTCCCATTTGATCAGGTCCACAACTCCAATTACAGAATACACAACAATATCTAGACATGCTTATCAAAAGTTCACCCAAAAATTGTGATTATTCAAAACAGACGATTATTCTAACTATTATTCTGGGATAAATGTTAATCCCAGTTCGCTCCTGGTACGACTTTTGTAGAAATGAGAGAGACTTTATCATAATGCAGGTGTTGTTATGAATAATAATATCGGGCAGGATATAACGCCTTTATTACCCCTCACCTGCAGGCGTTTTCCAGCAACTCTCGTCATATGACAAACCAGTTACTCAGCTACCTCCAAATAGTGCAATTACTCAAATCCAGTATTGTGTAGTATTGACTTGAAAAACACTTTTAAGGACCAGATAGTATTAAAACTTATTTTACAGATTTTCTTGATTTATTACGCCAATTCTGGTTGTTGTCATGGTTGACTTGAGTTTAAATTAACCATATAAAAACTTGAAACAAAAGTTATTACAAACATAGAATCATATTCAAAAGTTCATATTTGAGAAAAAAATAAAAATAATTAAGTTATATTTTACCTTTGCAAGATTTGTGTTTTACCTTTGCAACATATACTACTCAAAAGAAGTTAAAGAACACCGACAATAGGTAGGCTGTGTGATGCAATATGCAGTAGCCATGACAGATTAACTTTAGTCATATGAAAAAACCCAGGTGTTCTTTAACTTATTCTGAGTAGTATGAATAACCTTCTTGACAACTAATTCCATACAAATACAATTAAATGCATCGTCATAAAATGGCTAAAACCAAAATTTGTTGCAATGTTAAATTTGAACAAAGTGTGTTTGTGACGAATTGCTACTATTTCACCATTATTTTAGCAATATCAAGGGAGAGACACAAAGAACAGGCTTCACACACTATACCCATGTCGGGAATCAAACCTAGGACTTTGGCATGATGAGTGAGCACCATACCCACAAGGCCACGCACAACCCACAGACAACTCAAGGAAAAACTCTTGTAAAATAGGTAGAATACTCATTTTTACCATTCACAACTCAGGACCAAGGGGCACCAAACACGAGAGCCTCTGTGGAAGCACTCGTGATGACCTACTTGCAAGTGTTTCCAACATTCTCAAATATGCATCGAAACAGTGCAACTGACAAACTTTCCATTCTGAAATACGAACTGTGATTGGACCATGCCAATTTGTCCTAAATAGGATCAAAACAACATCTCTCACTAGCTGCCTTTATAACCTATTTCTTCAAGGATTTTAATTCCAGAAGTTTAGATATCGGAAGAATATTCTGTGTACTTGGTGACTGCTTCACTGACCACTAGCCAGGCATTACACATATAAAAATGCATGATAGTTCGCATTTGTGAGCGAATAACCCTCAATAAAATCATAATTTTGCAGGGATGTAAGGTGATATTGCATGGAATCGTGCAATCGACAGCTCATGGCCAAGATTTCTGATGAATATGGAAAAGGTTTCGTCGCTGTTATGATTAATTGTCTTGTGATAGTGTGGCCTTGATTTATATGATCACCCTTATTTTGATAAAAAGGTTGTGGATATTTTACTAAGTATACAAGTACACTCAATATTTCTCTATTATCTAACATCACTTTTTCTACTACAGTCAAACACTGATTGGTCAAAGTTGAAGGCACCGACGTAATCATGGTAATACTTTGTATTATCCAAGGTTCGACACAACTGAAAATGATAATAAAAAAGAATACGCAGGGACCAAGCTTTTACTTCGAGACAAGCACAAGCTTGACACAGTTTGACACAACAGTGTTTAACTGTAGTTTACACTCCTGTTAGAGACTTCTAAACGACTTCACTGATTTTCAAAGTTTGTGATAAATTGTTGAATTTTTTTTCTGTGAGTTAAATATGAATATGTATCATATCATGTGTTTATGTGTTATTACTTCATTATTACTAGATTACTTCAGTTTTAAGCTGAAAATGAAGCGACTATAATATTTTCATTTCAGAGACTTAACAAAACACATGTACTTACAGCCATTTGTCAAACTTCCCATCTTAATCTAACTAATCATGACCAAACAAAAAATAAGAAATACTTATTATCCATGTCATGCTAAGTATATGTGATTCCGTATCACTGAAATGCCTCTTGTATGAAAATACTCAAATACTGAAAAGAATGTGAAAAGGAGCATGGCACTTTAGAAATGTCAACGCCTCACCCAAGATTAAGTTCAGATGACAGGTATTGCAATGAACTTAAATGTCATTGCTGCTCTTTTCGCCTGGCTGATCCAGGTGGATAAGTCATCAGCATAGGTGAAACAGTCCTTACCTCCATACTGCACACATTGACGCTGTGCATTATCCAAAATGAGGATTCGTAAGTGCATAAGCATCACTGTTCTCACTTAATAGCAGATCACTCTGGCATGATCTCGTTCTCAAAGAGTTTTAAACAAAGTCAAAATTGTCAAGCCCATTTTGCATTTGTGAGAATGCCCGAAGACAAGCGAATGTCTGTGTACCAGATTCATTCCAGGGTTCGTACCATTCACTGCATGGGCAAAATGTTGAGACAAAATCTCCTCGCACGCCCTATGGCATTATGGGATGAGGGAGATAGGAGTTAATTTAATACCTGTAGTCCAGACAGGGAACATCAAACAACCACAAATATCCAGCTGATGTTTATCTAGCTATTGTTTATTATAAACATAAACAAAGTAGAAATATGATGTTTCCAGCAAGGATTGAGTGGGTTTGGTTTAAAACTGCATTCACTTATGTCACATGGTTTAACACCACTTTGAACAGTCTTTCAGTTGTATCACTTGGTTTAACACCACATTGAACAGTATTTCATAACTGAATTAGGGCAAAGATTATTCTATCGTTATATCTGAAAACATGTTGTTTATTTCCTTTCTCAAAATTACCAATAAGCCATAGTCTTCTGATGGTGTAGAGAGTATGTGAACATTTGTAATGATGTAGAGAGTATATGATCACTTATAATGGTGTAGAGACTATGTCAACACTTCTAATGGTGTAGAGAGTATCACATGTAATAGTGTTGAGTGTATTAACACTTTCGATGGTGTAGAGAGTGAACACTTGTAATGGTTTAGAGAGTATGTGAACACATCTAATGGTGTAGTGAGTGAGTGAGTTTAACGCCGCATTTAACAGTATTCCAGTTATATCACGGCATGTCTGCTTAATGTGGGAGGAAAGCCCGAAGTGATGCAGGTCTCAGATGTTTACCACTTCAGTGAAACCCACGATGGTATGGTGCTGACAAACCTAGAAACATAATTGGGGCGAACCAGGATTCGAACCCACAATCATAGGTTTCTGGCATGCCCAAGGGACGCAACTCTGCACAGCGAATCGCGGCGCCTTAGACACCTGGGCCACCCGTGCCCCCTCTGATGGTGTAGAGAGTATGTGAAGACTTGTAACAGTGTAGAGACTATGTCAAAACTTCTAATGGTATAGAGAGTATGTGAACATACGCACTTGTAACGGTGTAAAGACTATGTCAACACTTCTAATGGCGTAGAGAGTATGTGAACATACACACATGTAATGGTGTAGAGAGTATGTGAAGACTTGTAATGGTGTAGAGAGTATGTGAACACTTGTAATGGTAAAGAGAGTATTTGAACACTTGTCATGGTGTAGAGAGTATGTGAACACTTGTAATGGTAAAGAGAGTATTTGAACACTTGTCATGGTGTAGAGAGTATGGGAAGACTTGTAATGGTGTAGACAGTATTTGAACACTTGGAATTTGAACTGCACACTTGAGTCAGTACATCTCAGGAAGTTCTCGGCAAACAAAGACACCACTCAAGACAGCTTAGCGCCAGTCAGACAAGTTAAACACATTCAAAATCTGAGTATTACATTTCACTGATCAAAATAACTGGCCTAGTTTATCAATACAAACTAAAAACAACATACTGGTACATCAAAATATGGAAAAGACTAAATATCAAGATGAGATTCAATAAATTTAGTTTGACAAAAAACAAAAATAAGCCGATATAATAGGATATACAGTAAAATAATCTTACACATTTCTACTTTCCTTGAAATTTGAATTGAAATTAAATCTAGAAACCAGTGGTCAACTTAAATGAAATCAAAAGTGTAAGACACAACTATCACAATGATAATTTCAAGTTTAAATAAACTTGTACCTTTAAACACTCAGAAATGAACAGTCCAAAACACATTGACCTACTTTGTAAAAAGATGAAGGGTAGGACTTAACACGGGTGTAATCCCACACAGCTCCCAACCTGCTTGCCAGCACATAATTGTGTGACAAAATAACCATGTCTTCCTGCTTTCTAAACCTGTGCAGCTGTGGCTATGTAAGGGAGATAACTCTGCACTCACCTTGCATATTGTGCTGGTTCCCATCTGGGGGAGAATATGGCTCAGACCCGGAGTCTGGAGGGCTGTCTGGCAGAGATCTGGAACATCATTGAGTGAGTGAGTGAGTGAGTATGGTCATAAAATGCTTCAGCAATATTTCAACCGTAAAACCAATGACATCAAGAATGGGCTGCACAAACTGTTCCAATGTAGGAAGCTGGCTTAGTTGTCCAAGCACCCCTCTGGTTCACGAGGGAAACAAGTCGCCACTTGTTTAAGGCGCTGCACTTTGCTGTGCAGGCTGCATTACTTAGACCCACCAGAAACCTACGATCATGGGTTTGAATCCAATATTCGCCCTGATAATGTCATAACAGTTTGTCAGCACAAAACCTGTCCAAATGGTTTTCAGGTGAAGTGAGTAGGGTCTTGGAGTTATTTCATCACTCAAAATACATACTTTTTGTTTATTGGATATATAAACTGAATGATATTGTTAATATCATCCTTCAAGATATGACAGTTATTGTTCATCACTCCCTTCAGTACAGAGACATATTATTATTGATATCATCTTACATGACAGGCTGTTATCATTAATATCAGCCTACAGAACAGATTGTTTTTAATTTACTAATATAGCATTTTTACACAGGACAGCTTGTTATTATTTATATTGTTCTAAAGGACAGATCATTATTATTTCCACCATCCCACAGGACAGATTATTATTTTATTATTTATATCAAACTAAAAGGGAAATTGTTATTATTGATATAATCCTATAGGACAACTTGTTATTACTTACATCACACTATGGGCAGGATGTTATAATTTATGTCATCCTAAGGACAGGTTATTATTTTTATCAGCTACATGACAGATTGTTATTAGTTATATCATCCTACAGGACAGATTATTATTTATATGTCACACTAAAGGGCAGATTGTAATTATTCATATCATCCTACAGGACAGAATATTATTTATATCACACTAAAGGGCAGATTGTTATCATTTATATCATTCTACAGGACAGATTGTTTTCATTTATATCATCCTACAAGACAGATTATTATCTATGTCACACTAAAGGGCAGATTGTTATCATTTATATCATCCTACAGGACAGATTATTATTTATGTCACACTAAAGGGCAGATTGTTATTATTTATATCATCCTACAGGACAGATTGTTATTTATATCACACTAAAGGGCAGATTGTTATCTTTTATATCAACGTACAAGACAGATTATTATCTATGTCACTCTAAAGGGCAGATTGTTATTATTTATATCAACGTACAAGACAGATTATTATCTATGTCACTCTAAAGGGCAGATTGTTATTATTTATATCATCCTACAAAGACAGATTATTATTTATGTCACACTAAAGGGCAGATTGTTATCATTTATATCATCCTACAGGACAGATTATTATTTATGTCACACTAAAGGGCAGATTGTTATCATTTATATCATCCTACAGGACAGATTATTATTTATGTCACACTAAAGGGCAGATTGTTATCATTTATATCATCCTACAGGACAGATTGTTATTTATGTCACACTAAAGGGCAGATTGTTATCATTTATATCAACGTACAAGACAGATTATTATCTATGTCACTCTAAAGGGCAGATTGTTATTATTTATATCATCCTACAAAGACAGATTATTATTTATGTCACTCTAAAGGGCAGATTGTTATCATTTATATCATCCTACAAAGACAGATTATTATTTATGTCACACTAAAGGGCAGATTGTTATCATTTATATCATTCTACAGGGCAGATTGTTATCATTTATATCATCCTACAGGACAGATTATTATTTATGTCACACTAAAGGGCATATTGTTATCATTTATATCATCCTACAGGGTTGATTATACTTATTTACATCTCCCTACAAGACAGATAATTAATTCTGTATTCCTACAGGACAGATAGCCATTATTTACATCATCCTACAACACTAATTTTCATATTTTTATACAACATTCTAGTATTATTGTTGCTCTCTCACAGAAAATATTGTCTACCTCCTAGTGATAGATCATCTCTCTATCAGCATGTCTCTAACTCACACTAGTGACACCAATGCTGCATGGGAAGACATACTTTCAGCAATGAGTCAGTACCCCCCACCTAAAGTAAGATCACCAATTAGACTAATGAAGCAGCCGGGGAGGCAGTCTCAAGGCTGGAGCTATAGGGGGGACAACAGCAACCTTTTCATGTGAACATTGTATAAACCTTCAATAAATATGTCGCCAAGGCAACTTGTCTTTCCATTTGTGTACGTTTGGCTTTGAGTGTGTGGCTCCAAACGTGACAAACACTATCAAATGGCGTTCTAGCAAAGAAGCCGTTCCCCCAACATCGTACCTATCTCCGAACGTTACGTGTATGCCGCCTTGTCGTTGGGAGAGGGGTTGTACTCTACACGGTCGGATCACGACACAGGCCGAAGATGGTTCGCACCTATCCTGTTCGTTTCTCTTGTACGTGGTGATATTTTAACACTTATGGTACTGTCAGTCCAAAACAAGTGCCTTCTAGATAGTTCATTCTTGGAGGTCGTGAAATACTGGAAGTTATATTTAGAATATTTCATGCTTCCTCTCTCGGATTACAGATTCCTACCATACAACGTGGAACAATCCAATTCAGCCCGGAAGATATCAGTTTAAATACAAACAACTATGTTTATGAATTTACAAAAACAATTTTTGGGCATATTTTTCTCAAACAGAATAAAATCACACAAAAATTCATTATCAAACCAAGGTTTTACTTTGTAACAAAATAATATCTTTAAAAAGAGTCCCAGTCATGTTTTTCTTCTTAACATAATCAGTGTTTGAATGGTTCTTGATTTGCAAAATCCTTATTTATTCACAGCTTATCATCTTCAACGTTTCAACCATAAAATATACATTTACAACAACATAAAAATACCCAAAATATAACATTTTTACAGAATAAAATTTTCGACAAAGAAGATTATCTATAAATATACTGACATTCTAAAATTATCATCCCAAAAAGAAGGAAACCTAATTTGAAGGAAATATTACATTATACTTTTCTAGACATAACAATAAAATTGTAATCATGTATTCCTAGCTTCTGAAGTGAAGCTTTCTGTGATGGCCAGGTACCAGGAGGTACCAGTCCGCCCGTGTGACGGGAGACAGAGTGGGGGCTGGTAGCGCGAGACAGTGCAACCAACCGGCACATTACTCTGACGGCCTCACACCTACACTTTACATAAGTATACCCCAGCGACATACAGACGTGGCCTGTAGGCATTTCTCTGAGCTGATGAACTGAAGATATGTCAGTTATATATTCAGATCATTCATGGCCTAAGTTGAACAATGTTGCTCTTAACTTACACAACAGAAGACTTATTGATTAATTTCAGAATAATCAGCATGAAATTCTGGGGATAAACTGTTGTCAATGTTTCCATTTTCCATGTTATCCATGCTGTTTCTTTGCAAAATAAAATAGTGGTTCATTTCAAATATGGTAAAAGTAATCAATTATCTCTTTTCATCAATATTTTGGATTAGGCTATTATGTCTTCTTTTTTTTTGACAACTGACCATCATTTTTCTCACCTCCTTCCTAATGGAAGAATATGGAAAAAGACAGCCTTTATGCTTAGATCTGCTGACTACATTACATTGATGCTCAAAACATATTTACCATTAGACTATATGAAGGGTGTCCCAGTTGGCTATGGTTTGACATTAATTCACAAATAAGCAATATGCATATGGAGGGGTAGCACTGTGGTAAATTATGTGTTTGCCCATGATGAACAATTCCTGGTTTGATTCCTATATGGGTATAAATTTTTTGGAGATAAACATTATAATCTTTTCATGTTGAAAAATTCCATTAAGGCAGTGGTTTCAAATGTCAAACTTCTCAGGTATCAAATACTCAGTAACACCTGCAAATCTGAAAACACATAACGTTTATCAACTTCGTCAGCTTGCTGTCAGAGTTCACCTCTTTGGTCATATGGACACGGCGTCCATCATCTTCATCAGGTCAATGGTTCGAATCCCATCACAGGAAATCAGTTCATGAAGATATTCCCAGTACAAGAACAGATGGCGCTACTAAATAGGTCTTCAGCAACCCATACTTGCCATAAAAGGCGACTATGCTTGTCGTAAAAGGCGACTAACGAGATCGGGTGGTCAGGCTAACCGACTTGGTTGATACATGTCATTGATCCCAATAGCGTGGATCGATGCTCATGATGTCAATCACTGGATTGTCTGGTACATACTCGATTATTTTACAGACCGCCGTCATATAGCTGGAATATTGCTGAGTGCTGCGTTAAACAACAAACAAACAAAGTACTTACGTGTGATGTTTATATACATGGTGTTGCGTGGGGTCGAAGTTGACGCGTGTGTTGGGCACGCTGCAGTACATGCTCTGAGCATGTGTGGTCTGGGGCTGAGGGTTCAGATGCGATGTGAGTCGAACATTCAGCTTCAGGTCACTCATCCCTGACTGGTCGGGTCGACCTGTTCCATAGGCCACCGCTTGAATTGCCTCCTCTGGGAGGCACCTGAAACATTCAAAATTGTGTGAAACCAAAGGGAGACCACTGAAACATTCAACATGTCAAACAAAAGGGAGATAACTCCAACATTCAACAGTGTGAAAACCAAGGGGAGATAACTAAAAAAGACATTGACTCTCCTGAATTCAAATGTCTTGAGATACAACCAAGAAGAGTGTGTGAATGAGTGTGTTTGTCAGAGTTTGCAATAATATGCTAGCTAAATCATGGCAGCCATTAAATAATTTGAATCAGCAAACCAGTCACTGAAACAGTGAGCGACAATCCAAAATGCATTGCCACACATACTTTGGATATAGTAGTAAGTGTAAATATCTCAAAATGCCTACTGACAACGACTGACCAAAAAAGTAGTTTTATAAATATTAGCTTCCACAGTGTTGCAGCCACCAAATGAGAAGTGGTTATTGTGATTTGAACCATCTGACTAGCCAATCAGAATTGTGCAAATAAACCATATTGACAATAAGATTACACTACATTGTCCCAGATATAGTGTGAAACCTTCCCATTACTGACAGCGTTGTTCAAATTGAAATCAGAAGTGCAAAGTTAAGTACCACTGCAAATATACATATTGTTTCCATCAAAACTGTTCAAAATGTGAAACTTTCCATTAATCAGGATCCAGACTAACAAGGTTCATCTGTATCAAGTAAATGAGTTCTTGGTAACGATGCATTAAAGGCCTGACCCCTAGTCAGGTACAGGAATGAGGCAACATCTAAACCGCATTCACACTTCAGAAAACTCTTCCAGCCTGATATTGACACTAGACATGTTGACATTTAGTTAAACTGAATTAAGAATTCAAAATAGATTGCCTGGTTGATCTGAGTTTAACTTTAGCCGGGTTCAACACCAGTACAGTTCCAGAATAAATTTGTCATCAACACAAAGAAAAAATAAGCTGTTGTCCAAATCGGTTATGACAGTTATCGGTTATAAATGTGTACAAGCCCAAGAATTCAAACAGGATGATGACCTGGAGTAAAATATTAATCATTTGTGTCCAGCAGTATCTTACTGTAGTTACCATAGTAACTGACCTTGTAAACACTGTAAATGGTTGTAATAGGCAACAGACAAGCTTTTTCACTCATGTTAATTTCCAAATCTTTTTCTCTTCTAAATATCTGAAGACGACGACTCTAATGAATCAGAGAATCCTTATCACAGCTTCACACACGCAAAGCAAACAGCACCACAAACTGATGCACAACAATTCATGACTTTCTTCCACAAAAGGTGAAACTATTTTTATTGTTGTTTTTTTATTCTGCAAACCCTAAAATAGTGAAAGTGCAAAAACAAATATGAAAAGAACTACTTTATTTTTCACAGAATGCAAACTGATGTGATCACATCAAAGACTTGGGCATCCATTGGTATAACTTCCAGATCAATGAGACATTTGTAACTAACATTGCTTTCATGACAACATATTCAACCTTTAAGTTTAAAATACATATATTCAACTAATCATATTTTCGATGTCATATTTGAGGCAACATATATTCCAAGTCAGTGCTAGTTCCTATATAAACATTAAATAAACGGTAACAGAAATTGCTTGTTTCTTCCTTACAACATGTTTTAATCAACAGAAAATTGACGAGAATATTTTTGCTTTCAATATCAAGCTCAATAAAAGTTCTATTCATGCAATGCTGTATTGCTGAAATAATGCCAATCCGATGTTAAATTTTAACTCACTCAATCTATTCATGCATGACTCTAAATGACTCTCTAAAAAATATGCAGTGAGTCATGGTGACTAGTTTTTTATAGGCTAGGCAAAGCCCTGATGTCTTTTTAATTATATATTTTTCCATCCACCAGAATTTTCACACAAGAAAAACATAAAACCAAGAAATAAAAACAAATCTGGCAGGGCACTAGACATATATTTAACCATTCAACTTTCTTCTGCACAACATATAAACAACACTGTACTCAACCAAGACGTCTTCGAAAAGACACTGACATCAAACTGTTAATTCTAGCAATCATAATTCCATAAAAACAAACAAAATTTCACATATGTAAGCAATTCATATTCCTAGTATTTGACAAAATTGAAACTTTTTAACCTGAGCATATTCTGTGGTTTGAGTACCAACTGCTAAACACAATATCCCCTCCACGATGTTTGGACAACCTGGTAGGACACTTCTTAAACAATAGCAGTTTGCTACAACCAAACAATCTCCTCACACAGGCAACAATTCTCTTTCTCATATGCAGCCCCCCTACTACCCCCCCTCCCCCTCCCCCAACCCCAGGCCTCAACATGGCCCCATGGTCTTGTATGTCTCTGAACAAAGGGATCCAACCATCGGCCAGGTAGTAATAACCAAAGCACTTAGGACTTGATAATGAGGACGGGGGTAGCGATATCTCCAATTGTTCCCTTGTATTTCCTCAACCTGCTCCACAGGTGGGGTCCAAATGGGCAGAAAACCAACCCCGGTCAACACAGTTGCTGTTGTATAGTTAGAGAGTCTGTCTTATGTATAGAAACATATTCTGTGGCCTCAGACATGAAGTTTTTTTGTTGGATCATGGGTTTTATTCAAAAGAATTGCTGGCATTTTTTCTCAAATATATAGCAACTTAATTTCGTGAATTTTTCTTTCTTTCTGAATATTGATTGATGATGTTGAGGTCTTTCTTAAGTCATCTAACTCATGCCCTTATCATGATAAAAAGAAACCAATACACACTTATACCAGAGACACAGTGTCCTTGGGATAGAGGAACAACCTTCTCTTACACAGTAAATATGTATATTATGCATAGTTCCCTTCTCATAATTTATTGATATCAAATAGCTATGTAACAAATCGCAAAGAATAATGAAGAACGAAGCATGGTTATTTCACGATAAAACATTGTTCTATCATGACATCATTTCTGATGATTCGAATATGTGCTCGCGACGTCATATATTTGACGACGCTATTTTTGAGAGAGAAGTGTCTAGTAAGTTGTTCCCCATAGATGTAGCTGGGCAATGCAGATAATTGCAATGGCCGAACGATTGCATCCTTAGTATGAGAGATATGACAATCAGTATTGGGAGAAAACGTACAGATAATCAAATATGCGTGAAATAGCAAACTTAACCCACCTGTTCATAAAATGTACTTGTCTGACATTTCCGAGGTCGGAAACTGTTCAGGGAGTCATCATTATTCAAATAAAGGTAACTATTTTCAAAGCTCGTACATTTCATCAACATCCTTCAAGATGCTGTACATATTATTAATATCTCATGAAGAAATAAATATCACACAATAAAACACTGCAGGGAAAATAAAACACTCGGTGACAGGGGTTTATTTTCTCTGTAGTGTATTATTGTATGATAAACAACGACCACAAGTCGTTTATTTCTTAATATCAACACCACATTCAGCAATACTTCAGCTATATGATGGTGGTTTGTAAATAACTGAGTCACAGGTTTGACATGATGAGCATCGATCAACACAATTGGGATACGATGACATGCAATCAACCAAACCACCAAGCCTGACCACCCGATCCATTTTGTCGCCTTTGTAATAAGCTTACGTTGCTCGGTACCTGTTTTCTCTATATTCTTGTTACAAGAAATCTCCACTGTTGAATATTCAAGTCCACAGACCAGTGTTTGACCTCATGAGCATCAGTGTGTGAGTGAGTGAGTGAGTGAGTGAGTGAGTGAGTGAGTGAGTGAGTGAGTGAGTATGGTTTTACGCCGCTTTTAGCAATATTCCAGCAATATCACGGCGGGGGACACCAGAAATGGGCTTCACACATTGTACCCATGTCGGGAATCGAACCCGGGTCTTCGGTCATGAGCATCAATCCACGCAGTTGGGATACAATGACATGCATCAACCAAGTCAGCGCGTCTGACGACCTGATCCTGTTAGTCGCCTCTTACAACAAGCATAGTCGCCTTTTACGCTAGCATGGGTTGCTGAAGACCTATTCTACCCCGCATCTTCATTGGTCGATTAAATCATTTCTAACATGATGTCATCACACATCTGTAAAAAATGATATGCAACATATCATTTTACACCAGGATAACATTGGTTGCTAGGTACAAGGCCTTGTCGAGAAAATTCATCAAATTTTTAAGGCCTTTTGAAAGCCTGGCTGCCAAATTAAAGATCTTTGAAAGCCTATGCGAACCTGGTACCCTTTTGGGGAAAAAAACTCTAGATGTGATGTACTAATGATATAACCACTAAGCTGCTATCCTTATCAGGGATACGTGCAGCCCTGCAAAAACACTTTAAAAGTAATATTTATCACTAAAACACTTTGAAAAATAATCAATTATAACTGTCAAAAAAGCATCCTAAACCAAGTAATAATAGATTCTACATTTTCGTTTGTTTATCCAAACTTTTGAATAAAACATGATTTATTGAATATTCACATTACCATTCCTAGTTAAATAACACTCAATGACCACAAAACACCTGAAAAGATGTGATAAATGTACAGCTCACAATATTCAGGTTATGAGGAACCAATCTATCACGAGCATGTTTGTTTATCAGTCCCAAGTCCTTCATCAATGTCACAATCGAGACAAAATCTGAAATATTTGATTTCCCCCCAGGCCAATGAGATACCTCAACACGGAAATATCATGTGATGACACAAACACTATTTAGTTGACACAAACATGACTGACACCTGTGGAATAGGATTCTACGATAACACAAAGATTCAGGCCGTGAATCATATAAATCTTTCCACCTTTAGAATTAATATTGGACCATTGTTTCTATCTGGTTTTAAATGAATGAGTTCATCGTTTGTTGACTGACAATCCCCGTTCAATTTGTCACCTGGAGCCAGTAGAGGATCAACATGATCAATTGGTTGATTGGTTAAGATTAAAACACTGCCTGAAACGTTTATTCACACTGCATCATATGAAATGTACTTTATGGGGGAAGTTAAAAGGTAACAAAAAA